GTGCACAGTTCTGCCGAAACCGGTTTGGCTCAGTGGTAGAGCGTCGGTCTGCGGACTGAAAGGTCCCGGGTTCAATTCCGGTCAAGGGCATATACGTTGGCTGCGCGCACATCCCCGGGTAGGGGATGTGCAGGAGGCGGCTGGTCGATGTTTCTCTCTCATTGACGTTTCTGGCTCTCTATCTCCCTCCCTTCCTCTCTGTAAAAAATCAATAAAATATATTAAATAAATAAATAAATAAATAAATAAATAAATAAATTGCACAGTTCTGTGGCTTTTAGCATATTCATGGGGTGTGTAACACTATAATTTAAGAACATTTTATCATCACAAAAGGAAACTCTGTCCCCATTAATAGTCATTCCTCACCCCCTCCCTCCTTCATCCTCCTCTCCCCCCCAACCCTGGGCTACCACTAGTCTATGTTCTGTCCCCATGGACTTGCCTGTTCTGGACATTTTGTATAAATGGAGTCATCCAAGGTATGCATGGTCTTTTGTGTCTGACTTCTGTCCCTTAGCAAAATGTTTTCAAAGCTCACCGTGGTGTGGCCTGTATCAGAACTTTATTCCTTTTTATTGCTGAGTAATATTCCTTTATGTGGATATACCACACTTACGCATTCATCAGCTGGTGGACATTTGAGCTCTTTCTACTCTTTGGCTATTACAATAATGCTGCTGTGGACATTTGCTTCTAAGAGTTTTTGTGACAATGTGTCTTCAATTCTCTAGGAATCCCTAGTAATGAAATTGTCAGTTCATGCGGTAACTCCAGGGCTAACCTTTGGAAAAACAGTGATATATTTTAAATGTTTTATGTTTATTTTACAAATATGTGATGAACATCTTCCATACGTTAAGAGTTTTGTTTTTTGCATCTCTCCCCCAAAGACCATTTCCAGCTGCAGAAACATACTCCTGTCCCCTCCCAACACACTCACACACACACACAACCACACACACAGGTTTTAGACAGGTGAGAGGCTGTATCTTCTAGTTTCTTGTGGTCCCTACAGTTTATAGAGCTCCCAGTAGCCTGTAAGTTTTCAAACACAAATATGACATCCCCACCCATGGGGACAAGACTAAACTATCCACCCAAAATGTGAACATTTTTATAGATAAGAGGTGTTTGGGGATTTTTTTTTTTAATGATTTGATCACGAGGTTCTATTAAAGCAAAAAGCCAGGTGGGACTCTGGTCTCAGATCCCTGAGTTCTGCCAGGGGTTGTCCTTTGTCAGGAATGGGACTATGACTCTAAGTGGAGAAGCAGCCCAGGCAGAGCGCAAACTTCGTCCTGTGTAAGCGGTGAGCTTCCAGAGGGAGCGGCTGGCCGAAACCGGTTTGGCTCAGTGGATAGAGCGTTGGCCTGCGGACTGAAAGGTCCCGGGTTCGATTCCGGTCAAGGGCATGTACCTTGGTTGTGGGCACATCCCCAGTGGGGGGTGTGCAAGTGGCAGCTGATCAATGATTCTCTCTCATTGATGTTTCTAACTCTCTATCCCTCTCTCTTCCTCTCTGTAAAAAAAAAAAAAAAAAATCAATAAAAGTATTAAAAAAACACAAACAAAAACAAAGAGAGCAGCTGGTGCGGAGGTGCAGAGAGGTCTGGGCAGGGCGCTTCAAAGCTCCTGGATTGCCTACTGCTATGCAGCTCCGAATTGGTGAAAAGAGAAAGTCTCTGATGGTTTAAAAAAAAAGGGGGGGGGGGAGCCAAGATGTGGAGGGCAGGGAGTAAGTCACGTGGAAATCCTACCTCCCTCGGAGATTTCCGAGTCAATAATGTGGCATTATCTTGATGAGGAGGTGAGGAAAGAGAGCAGACCAGGGAGAGGAAATGCCCAGGGGAGAGTATTTATTGACTCATTACTGTTATAACTCACATGGAACCCGCTATGAACAGGCACTGGTATAGCACATTGTTTTCATTTAGTCCCCCCAACAGCCGTCTGAGGTAGGCATCATTAACACTCTTTAGAGCTGGGGAAACAATCACAAAGAGGGTGCGTGATTTTATGGGCCAAATTGAGTCCCCCCCAAAATTTATGTGATAAAACTCTAACCCCCATGTGACTCTTCTTTTTTTTTTTTTTTTAAGGAATATTTGTTTTTTGGGTTGTTTTTTTTTAATATATTTTATTGATTTTTTTACAGAGAGAAAGGGTGAGGGACAGAGAGCTAGAACCATCAATGAGAGAGAGAGACATTGACCAGCTGCCTCCTGCGCACCCACTCAACCGGGGATGTGCCCGCAACCAAGGTACATGCCCCTGACCGGAATCGAACCTGGGACCCTCCAGTCCACAGACCAACGCTCTATCCACTGGGCCAAACCAGTCTCAGCCCCGTGTGACTCTATTTAAGAAAATATTAAGCCCAGCCTGCTTAGCTCAGTGGTTGAGCATTGACCTATGAACCAGGAAGTCACGGTTCTATTCCCGGTCAGGGCACATGCCCAAGTTGTAGGTTCAATCCCCAGTGTGGACTGTACAGGAAGCAGCTGATCAATGATTCTCTCTCATCATTGATGTTTCTCTCTCTCTCTCCCTTCCTCTCTGAAATCAATAAAGTTATATTTTTTTAAAGTCATTAAGGTTAAATGAGGTCATAAGGATGTAGTCCCTTATCCAAAAGGACTGATGTCCTTGTGGGGGGGAAAGAGGGGGCACGAATAGGGAGAAAAGGCCATGTGAGGGTACAGCGGGAAGGTGGCCACCTGCAGGCCAAAGAGAGAGCTTTCACCATAAGTCAACCCTGCTGGTCCCTTGCTCTTAGACTTCCAGCCTTCAAAATGGTGAGAAAACATATTTCTGGTGTTTAAGCCCCCTGTCTGTATTCTGTTAGGGCAGACCTAGCGGGCTAATGCAGTGACTGGCCCCAGATCTTTTGCGGGGCAAATGGAAGAACTGACATTTGAATCCAGGCTGTCGGGCACTTAGTCGCTGTTTTTACTGGGTTTTGCACAGTGCTTCTTGCCCTGGGAATGGAGATAACAAGAGTCTTATTGGAGAATGTGATGTTACCGGAACTGCCAACATGCATGGGCGTCACTCCCCACAGCCCAGTGTGCTAAGTGCTTTGCCTGGATTATCCATTTAACACCAACAACAATCCGTGAGGTTAGTGCTGCTATCGTCCCCTTTCCCCTAAGGCCTTCAGAGAACTCCGATGCAGACAAACTCACTCCAGAGCCAGCTTGGAACACTGTCGCACTACAATTAATGATAACTATTGTAGATGTTAGAAATAAGGCGAGCCCCCCACGTCAGGGGTTCTGGAAGAATATAAAACACTCAGGCAGCAAGGCAGACATCTTTACTTCTACGTAGAAGGGTGCACACACTTGGTCTGGAAGCGCGTGCACACCGAGCAGTTGGTCTGCTTGGCTTTATAATCCCTGACACACGTGACCTGTCCTTTGCTCTTGACTGGAGGTCAGACACAGTCAGTCTTTCACAATTGGCCAATTCAAAGGGAGAGGTTGGCCTTTGCTGTTTCAAGATGGTGGCCCCCAGGGGAACTGCAAGCCATGCGGCCAACATGGTGGTTGACAAATCACCTGGTCCAAAATAGCAGCTGTCTAAACTGTTCTTTGACAGGAAAGATGTTTATTTTAACAGATCATTTTGTTATGCTCAGCTCCACCACCTGGCCAAAAACTGCTCAACTGGGCCTTCCACATGAGAGAACACAGTTGAAATAATTAAGACGCACTTCTCTGAGATGGCCTTTGAAATAAATGAGCCACGTTGTCCCCACTAAGGTGTCCCAGCTTTCGGGGGGGAAAAAAGCTAACGGGAAGGCAGCCCTGTCCTAATGGGCAGGAGCGAGAGGAGCACTGTGGGAGGAGCATCATCCAGCCATGGGCTTTGTGGGAGATGAACAGAATGAGCAGTGGCCAATGGGAACTCAGCAGCGATTGGGTTAAACCCACCCTAGGTACTTCTCATCTCAGAAATGTGTCTTCATGTCTACCGGTTTGATGTGGGTCTTTTTTATATCTTCCTCTTTTTTTTAATGTTTTCTTTCTTTTTATTTAGAGAGGGAGAGGGATAGATAGAAACATCGATTGGCTGCCCCCTGCATGCTCCACAATGAGGATCAAGTCCACATCTCAGGCATGTGCCCTGACTGGGAATCACACCAGCAACCTCCATGGGCTGATGCTCATGGACTTTCAGATACTTAAAATGAGTAATAGGTAAAGTTATACACCTAGTATTAGCTTCAGAAGAAGGTGGGATTCATGAAGGGGAAAGTAGAAATAAAGATGAAAACTGTATTGGCCATGAGATGGGGATTGGGTATGTGGGGGTCATTGAACTAAACTGTCTTCTTTTGAATGTGTTTGGAATTTCCATAAAAAATAAATTTTAAGTTTATGGAATTGGAAGCATGTATATTGGTGTGGATGTATATACAGACATACTTTTGAATGATAAGCAGAGGGTTTAGTAGGGATTTTATTCCACAGGGTATTTGCTTTGTAAAAAAGGGAACAGTATATGGTCCATATTCAGAGGATAGTTCTGTTACTTCCTGAACCTGGTCATAAGCAGTCCTGGGTCCAGCCTGCACCAGTCCTCCAGTAGCCACTGCCACACCTTCACACTCTCCTCAGCTTCAGAGTATACAATCCCATATGGTTCCCGAGTCCAACTCTAGATTCTGTCAAATTCCTAACATGCTTCAAAGCGAGAATGACTGAATTTATGTTTGGTACCAGCAATCTTAAGTCCAAAATGCTTCAAAGATTAAACAATCACACATTTAAAATACATAGAAAAATAATATAATTAGGATTTATACAAAGTAGATTATTACAAAACAAGTACACTACAAGAAATACATCTTATATCCAAACACAAAAATTTGGAAATATATGTTTAAGAAAAATCATTTATTTTTAAATGCTGAGTGGGAAGGCATAGACTGAGTTCAGCTAGCAGAAATTTTCACTCCATCTCAAGCTTCTATAAACAGTTCCTGAAGGAGATTAGACAGCTGTTCCTCTTTCCAAATTCTGTTTAATTTCAGCTGTGTATTTCCCATAGAATCTTTCTGCCTTTTTGTTGAATTTGGCATTTCTTTCATTAATATAATCGATATCTGCATCGTCATTATAAGGTCGTCTCCGGCTATATTTGTCTCGTTTTTCAATTCTGAGGGGAAAAGAAAATAATTTTTAAAATTTTAAATGTCTTTAATTTTTTTTTCAATTTATTAACTTGAGAGAGAAACATTGATTTGTTGTTCCACTTATTTATGCATTAATTCATTGATTCTTGCCTGACCAGAAATCAAACTCGCAACCTTGGCATATCACAACAGCACTCTAACCAACTGAGCTAGCCGGCCAGACTTGTCTTTTTTTTTTTTTTTTTTTGTCTTAACAGAAATAGCCTAGTAGTTGAGAATAGCATCGTTACACTTAGAACAGTACACTTTGGTGGGTGGGGGAAGCAGTTTTCATCAAGATCAAGTTGAAGCTGCTAATTAATAGCACAATAGCACAACCCTGGGTAAGAACCATAAAATACAAATTCATCTTCAGAATGCCTCTAAAAAAGCAATGATAACCTTGTTAGCAACTGGATTGGATACATAAAATATTAGAAGAAGATGACTACAATAATTATATTAATAACTAGAGGCCCAGTGCATGAAATTTGTGCATGGGGGGGTGGGGAGGCCTCAGCCCAGCCTGCACCCTCTCCAATCTGAGACATCCCTCTCACAATCCAGGATGCTGGCTCCCAACTGCCCTCCCCTGCAGACCTGGGTCCCCCTCCAACTGCCCTCCCTTGCTGGCCTTGTCACCCAAAACTGCCTTCCTCTGCTGTCCTGGTCACCCCTAACTTCCCCCAATTGCCCTCCCCTGCAGGCCATCTTGTGGCGGCCATCTTGTGGTGGCCCTCTTGTGTCTTGATATGAAGGTCAATTTGCATATTGCTTTTATTAGATAGGATAACCACAGCTAATATGGAGGGTACAGTATGTTGAGGTACTATCCTTAATACTTCACATGTATTAATTTCTAAATTACAGATTCATTCCACTCTGCCTCATATTCACCCCTATCAATATAAGAAACACAAATGTAGTGGAGGTACATTCACTAGAACCTTCTTACGTCTTCAAATCAAGTAGCAGAGTGATTACTAAATAAAAGTTCTTAAAGAAGAATTTTCTTTAAATCCTTCCCTACTTCAATTATAACAATTCAATTTTATCAATATTTTGTTTGCTTCTCCATTCCAAATCATATGGATTCAACTCATACTTGCTATCCCCAAAACCACTGTAGATGCTAAGTCAGAAATTAGCAAGTATAATATGTCTATTCAATTCATCCTAAGCTTCAAATTTCACACTGCTCTACTGAGTACTTACTGTTTTTCCAGATCTGTGACCATCCTATCAATTTCCTGAGTGGAAGGCACATGTGTTCCATGAAGAAGACTGTTGGATGTTGGGAAAAACTCTTCTCCACTGAAAAGACAGCAAAATGAACTTATAGTAATAATACAAGTGCACCACATTTCCTAATTTCAAAGTAAACAACCATTCACGTGAAGAGATAAAATAGAGACATATATTTACTGTGGGATGGCCCACCTTAACTTTTAAAAAAATATACAGAGCCCTGGCCCATATGGCTCGGTTGGTTGGGTATCATCCCATGCACCAAAAGACTGCTGGCTCCCCAGCTAGCGTGGCTCAGTGGTTGAGCATCAACCTGAGCAACCAGGAGGTCACAGTTCAATTCCTGGTCAGGCGATCTGCCCAGGTTTGTCAGCTTGATCCCCAGTCAGGGTATTCAAGAGGCAGCTAATCAATGGTTCTCTCTCATCATTGGTGTTTCTCTCTCTCTCATCCACTCTCTTCCTCTCTGAAATAAATAAATAAAAATATTTTTGTAAAAATAAAAAGATTGCTGGTTCAATTCCTAATCAGGACACATGTCAGGATTGCAGGCTTGATCCCCAGAAAGGGGCATGTAGGAGGCAGCTGACTGATGCTTCACTTTCACACCAATGTTTTTCTCTCTCTCTTTCCTACTCTAAAAATCAATTAAAAATCTTAATATATATATATATATATATATATATATATATATATATATATATATATATAGAATTGGAAGGGATCTAATAAGTCACTTATTCCGACCCCTTCGTTCAATAGATGAAAGAGCCAAAGGCCAGTCAAAGGGCTCGCCTCCAAGTCCAGGTAGTTCTCTCTCCACTAAAGCAGGGGTTGGCAAGCTTTATAAACCGTTTTTATAAACAGTTTTACTGGGACAGAGCCATTTGTCTATAGGTCCTCTATGCCACTTTCACATCACAGCAGCAGAGCCGAGTACTAGCAGTTGTGACAGAGACCATATAGCCCACAAAGCCTAAAATCTTTATTATTTGGTTCTTTATATTTAAAAAAAAAAAAAAATCGCTTATTCTGGCACTAAAGCATCTGCCTCTTAAGAGAATATCTGAGTGAAAAGGATAATCTAGTTTTAACCAATCTACACTCAAGTCTTGGGACGCCCAGCTAGATAGATAACCAGATGATGAGCTTAACTGCTGTGGCGTGAGCAATAAATATTGTTGTGGAGATCAGAAATCATTCTTAACACAGCTGCCTGATAACCCATACCTAAACATTACCTAAGCATTATTTATGTGTGTATTGTTGTATATATACTCACACACAAATATGTCTACTTCAGGATACAAAAAAAAAACAAAAAAAAAAAACCTTGCAATACTGTCAACTTACTGTTTTTCTCTCAGTCTCTCATATGTTTCCATGTCAGGTTTAATCTGTTTGGTCAACCGATGATACTGGCGTAACTGGGCAGCAGCATAATCTAAAAAGAAAATGAGAATCAGACACAATATACTTCCTTGTTTGGTCACTACAATTCAGGGGGGATCTAAATTATTATTAGTAATATATGCACAAGACACCAATCTAAGCAGAGCTTCTGATCCTGAAAATGCTGACAATCCAAGCCTCAATTAATTTTACCGCGAAGAATAAAAGGATCCAGCTGACTCAAGTACAGCCATTACTGCTGCCCCAGCAGATGCATTTGTATTTTCTCGGGTTTATGCCCCTTAGAGAACATCCCTGAAGGGGAGTATCCTTTCATAAGTCAGAAACATTGGAGGCGATGCTTAACCTAACAGGCCCATTCATAAAGTAAAAGCCAATTTCACCTGAAAATCCCAGGTCCGGGTTTTTCCTCTTCTTTTTCCTCTCCCACCTTTCTGCATCTTCGGCACTGATCTCCAGTAACTTCACTTTCTCATAGTCCTCCCCTCTGGCTGCACATTCCTAAAAAGAAAGGAAAAAGCTGAAACCAGCAATTATGATACAAACAATTATTTTATCTATTTTAAAACGAGAAAGATTGAATAAAATTATCTAGCAATACTTTCAAAATAATGATTAATCAAAGAAAATTCGGGAATCTGCTCTAGTATATAACAAATAAGCACACAGATTTAAAAATAACATTTATTCAGCCGAAACCGGTTTGGCTCAGCGGTAGAGCTTCGGTCTGCGGACTGAAAGGTCCCAGGTTCGATTCCGGCCAAGGGCATGTGCATTGGTTGCGGGCACATCCCCAGTAGGGGGTGTACAGGAGGCAGCTGGTCGATGTTTCTCTGTCAGTGTTTCTGGCTCTCTATCTCTCTCCCTTCCTCTCTGTAAGAGAATCAATAAAATATATTAAAAATAATAATGATAATAATAATAATAACAATATTTATTAGCATTTATCAGGTGTGAAACCCTGTTTTATAGGCACTGGCTCATTTAACTCATAATTAACTCAATTATTATCACAGTCTCCATTTTACAGATGAGAAAACAGAGGCACAGACAGGATAGGTAACTCACCCAAAGTGTTGCAGCTAGTAAAAAGCAGAGCCAAGATCTGGACTCCGGCAGTCTAGCTCTAGAGCCAGTGGACAAAACCACCTGTTTACTGTGTCAATACGACAGAAAGACGGAGTAACCACTTATGAGACAGCAGAGGCATTCCTGACCTTTTTCTTTTCTTCCTCCTGCAGTTCCCACTCCAAGCGAGCTTTTCTGGCTTCCCAATTTGCAGGTAACTTAAGTCTCTTATCTTCTTCCACAACTTCCTGGTGATTTAATTTACGGGCTTCATTCTAAAAGGTAACAGAAAGTTTACAGCTGAAGCATGAAAATCAATCCAAATAGATCTTGCCTTCTATGAGGGTCAAGAAAGACACATTACCAAGGGAACCCCATTTTATCTTAAAGCAACAGAGACCCAGCAAAGGATTTTAAGCAAGGGAACCACCTAACTAGGTCTGCATTTATATAGAGTAAAAAAAAAAAAAAAAAAAAAAAAAAGTGTTGGGCTGCACTGATTTGCTGCTCCAGAGGCCTGATGGTCCATGTCGGCTCCACCTGTTGAGCTGTGCAGTCCCTCTGAGCAGGTCCCGTAGGGTTGGATGGGGCACGGTTTCACAAAGGGGAAGGACTACTGCAGTGGCACTAAAGACTTCAGATGGCATGAAATAATGTTAAACACATGATGAGAACGACCTTCTCCTCTCCAGTCTCTTTTAATCTTGATTAACTCAAGAAAAAAGCCTCAATTTAGGGCTGGGGCTCTAAAACCTCTCTTAATACCTCTAATCCTTTCCACGTCCCCCTCCTTTTTAAATATTTTAACAGTTTACATTATGACAAATGAAAGAAATTTTCCAGTGGGATTACTCTGTGAAGAGTTCGTTTTAAAATAAATTTAACTGCATAAAATAAAATGAGCATATCATCTTAAGGGAAAATTAAGTTTGATGTTTCTTAGGTCACAGACTGGTGGCAGTAAGTCCAGGAAGCCATGTCTCCTAATTTCCAACCAGATGTTCTTTACACTGCCCATCCAAGTAAATATTTAACTGTGTTTAAGTCTTTATTAGATTAACTTTTGGGGGCAAAGAGAGAAATTCCTCTCAACTACCATCCTTATTTATTCTTGACGCTGACCATACCCTCCAGGTGAGGACCAAGAAAACACCTGAAATCAAACCAAGTTGTGTTTGTTGCCCTGAAAGAGGCAGAAAACCATAGTGAACTGTAGGCACTTCAGTGAGAAGGTGTTAGGGGGAAGGTGTTAGGGTGTTAGGGGGGTAGGCATAGGATTAGGGTATCAGCAGCTGGGGGTTGGGGGGGAAATTCAAGGAAGCATGGTTGTGCTCTGGATTGCAGTCAGAAGCCAACAAATTTTTGTATTGAGTATCTTAAGTTTTTACATACAAGGCAGGATTAATGGAGCAAGATCAATGTATTACTTGGAAATAACAGTCTATGATGTTAGCAGAATAGGGGGACATGTGGTCATTTCCGTGGTTTGTCTCACTACAACAGTCAGAGTGATGCTGGAGTTTTGTGGAACCATGGCCGGGCTGTCAAGGTGAGTTAAGAGCTGTTCTTTTTTCTTTCTCAGCCCCAACTGCAGCCAATTATTGGCTGGACTCTTGTCTCTAATATGAATTCTCTTCCTTTACATGTGTCCCCTCTGCTTGGATATTTTTTCCCTCCAACTTCTTTGTCTGATAATACCTTACTAATCTTTTAAATAGTTTAGGTATCTTCTATAAGACACTCCCTGGAGAGAGAGAGACACACACACACACACACACACACACACACACACTCTCCTCTGTACTCCCCGGCCTTTGTTCCTAACTCTAGCATGGCATTTACCACAATAAAATTTCTAGCTGTAAAGTTGCCTCCTCTTTTAAAAACAGAGGCCTTATCTTCATCATCTTGTTCCCCACTGACTAGCTCAGCCATTGACACTACAGATTTTCATTGAGCTTTTTCACGGATTCAACCAACCTCAGATCTAAAACAGTATTTTCACATTCCCAACCGCAGATCAAAAATACAGCTGACCAGCCCTGACTGGTTTGGCTCAGTGGACTGAGTGTTGCCTGAGAGCTGAAGGGTCCCAGGCACATGCCCGGGTTGCAGGCTCCATCCCCAGTAGGGGGCATGAAGAAAGCAGCCGATCAATGATTCTCTTTCATCATTGATGTTTCTATTTCTCTCTCCCTCTTCATTTCTCTCTGAAATCAATAAGTATATTTTAAAAATATATATACAGCTGATCCATTCTAGCTGGTTTGGATCGGTAGACAGCGTGTGGGCCTGTGGACTAAAGGGTCCTGGTTGAATTCTGGTCAAGGGCACATCCTGGGTTGTGGGCTCCATCCCCAGTAAGGGGCATGCAGGAGTCAGCCGATCAATGGTTCTCTCTCATCATTGCTGTTTCTATCTCTCTCTCCCTCTCCCATCCTCTCTGAAATCAGTAAAATAAAAAATACAGCTAACCCTTGAACAAGACAGGGATTATGGGTGCCACCCCCGCACAGTCAAAAATTCGCATATAACTAATACTGTTTTCATTCTGCGCAGTTGATTGAATCTAAGTATGCGACGGGGCAACTGTAGAGTCCAAAGTCATATATGGATTTTCAACTGCGGGATTCAGCATACCTAAACCCAAGCGATGTTCAAGGATCAACTGTATTTTCAAAAGTGATTACAACGTGCTACCAGCGTTGAGAACCACCGGGAAAGATCTTGCATCGGACCACGCGGGTTTGTCAGGCACGCTGCTGCGACTTCCTCGTCTCCCCACAGACACGCAGGGGCCTCACCAGTGACAGGTCTCAGCATCTACTCACCCGCTTCAGATGCAGCTCCCGGAATTTGCGCAGTCTCTGCTCGCGCTTCTGGGCGGACAGCTCCTCCGCCGCCGCGAGGGGCTGCTCCTCCTTTGCGCTGGTCGCCAGCACCTGCGACAGGGAGGGACGGCTGTTGGCAGGACTGGCTCGGCTCCTCCCGGGGCTGCCCAGGCCGATTCCCCGCCGGGCCCGACAGGCCGCGCCGGGCCCGCACTGCCGACCCTGTCTCCACAGTGTCTACTCCTCCCTGTTCTATCGCCCAGGCATCTCCTCTACCTCTCGGCCCTGTCGGCCCCTCTCAGTCCCCCCACGAAATCCCCCGGGTAGAGCCCGTGGCACTTACCTTCTCGGTTAGAACCGCAGCCGCCATCACAGACCTCTCCTTCCTACTTCCGGCAACAACACAGCACTTCCGTCGGCCTTCTGATAGATGTTAATAACCTATGGGAAGCCCCGCCTTTTCCGGTCATCCTCGGAGCTTGGGACCAATCCCTGCTCTTTCTAGTAAGTGAGCTGGCTTTCGATTGGGCAGGACCTTGCGCAGCCGCAGAAGACGGGGGCGGGGAGAGCGGGGCGGTGGGGAGAGAAGGGAAGGGACGCGAGCGGAAGGGGACGGCCTAGGACGCAGGGCGGGCTCTGGACCTGGTAAAGTCGCCTCCACGGCGTGTGCTCCCTAGAGCGCATAGTGTTTATCCTGATCGTCAGCTCTCCCCCGACTACCTTGTCTCACGTGGGCCTCCAGTACCGTCACCTGTGGCCCCATGTTAATTCCCTTAGAGATTTCTCTCGGTTCGTTTTCCGTTTCCCGCAACAATGTTGAAAACAAGGCGCGCAGATGCGTCCATCTTGTTTACTCTTCGTCTCCAACAGGGAAACGGTGCGTTAATAAAAGGAAGGTGCTGGATACAGGAGGAATGTATGAAAATTATTATTTTCTGCACTAGTATCCACTAATTCGACGTAGAAATGAATAAATAAGCCTCAAAATGAGAACAGATTTAGGACAGCCCCAAAATGGTAGCCACCCACCATATGACTATTACATGAAATGTGGCTAAGGCAAATTAAACTGGGCTTTAAGTGTAAAAATACACCCTAGGTCACAACACACACACACACGGTAAAATATCACAGTATTTTTTTTAATTACTTTCCTTCTCTAGATAGGAAGCCTACAAAGTTTATTATTCTTTATCAGGAAAATACAGGGTCAGTCTTTCCTAAGAGGCCTTGTGTTTCAACTCCCTGGGCTAGAAACTACTACTGAACAGACTGAACCAAGCCAAGGGGAAGATCCAACTATAATCAATCTACTGTCTGACCAATGGCACAAAGGTCCCTGTCCTCCATGCCCCGGATTCTATGTCTATTCAGCCATGTGAGCATGGCACTTAGAAGTATGCACATTCTTCAATCATTCCCCACTCATGGATCTATCTTGGTCCACTCAAAGTCTGCCCACAGTAAACCCCAGAGGTCAGGAGGCCAAAGGTTCTCAATGTCTCCTTTGGAGGCCCAGCAACGACCCTTTCCTTCAAGATCCATTCTCTACCTCTGGATCACGCTAACCACACACAGCAATTATCCTGAGTTCCCGAGGCCGGATGATATCAGATGAGGATGACGCTGGGACCAAGCCTGCTAGAGAGAAGGCGAGGTGGATGCCTCACAGCATTTCTTATATTGTGTTGAAATATTTTAGATACACTGGGATAAATTAATTCACTAGTGTGAATTAATACTGTATTTCTATTGGACAGCACTGAATCTAGACTCTTGATACAAATTCTGATCTTGCCATACAGTCATATGATGCATAACGTTTCAGTTCATGATGAAATGCAAATATAAAGGGTGGTCCTATGAAATTACAATGGAGCTGAAAAATTCCTATTACCTAGTGAGATAGTCTGTAGCAAACACATTACTCAGGTGTTTCTGGTGATGCTATGTAAACAAACCGACTTAGGTATAGCATAATTATGTATAGTATATACCGTTTCCCCGAAAATAAGACAGTGTCTTATATTAATTTTTTCTCCCAAAGTTGCGCTAGGTCTTATTTTCAGGGGATGTCTTATCTTTCCATGCGCTTCTTATTTTCGGAGGATGTCTTATTTTCGGGGAAACACGGTAGTAGGTGACAAATGATTGTTACTGGTTTTTTATGTATTTATTTTCAATAATGCTGCTTTTTAAAGTAAGGGAGAGAGAGAAACATCCCTCACCAAGAACTGAGCCCAGTCTGAGCATGTGTTCTGACCTGGAATCAAACCTTGACCTCTTGGTTCCTCAGTTCAACCAGTGCCACATCAGCTGTGCTTTTTATCTGCAAGTGTACTTTTAGTTTGCTGTAAAAACAGTATGCCGTATTCCATCATGTTTACACTCTTGATTGTATTTGCTCGTGTGATTTCTAGCCCAGGAGCAATAGGCTATACCCATGGTCGGCAAACGGGCTCCCGAGCCACACGAGGCTCTTTGGCCCCTTAAGACTCTCACTGGGAGAGTCTGTTTTGAATAAGTGGTTAGTTTAAATTTTAAAAATGTGGTTCTCAAAAGAAATTTCAACCGTCGTACTGTTGATATTTGGCTCTGTTGAGTTTGCCAACTACTGGGCTACCATATAGCCTAGGTGTGTAGCCTGTACCATCCAGGTTTGTGTAATTGCCCTATTTGCACAATGATGGAAATCAGCTAACTACCTATTCCTCACAACATATTCCTGTGGTTGAAGTGGCACATGACTGTACTGTCCACAGATTATGTAGTAACGGTATCACACTGACTTGACTGTATTCGTTATGTAATGACAGCTTGTCTGGGGGCATGCAGTTTCTTACGTTTCAAAGCATAGGAGAGACTAAACATATCCTGTCTATGTTGAACTAAGGTTAAATTAGACAAAGATGAAGTAATTATGAGAAAAAAATGAATATAACTATATTCTTTTCAGGATACTGGGAAGAAAAATAGACTACGAGGAAATTAAATAGGGAAGTATCAAGCATATTAAGAGGCTGAATCACTGTAGAAGTGCAATCTCAGAAATGGCACATATCCATACAACTAGCCAGACCTCTCATGTTAAATAGCTATTTGAATATAGGTCATAATCAGATCGGGTACTTTCTGTTACCAGCTAAATGACAGTGAAAAAAAATCTAGTATTGTCAATTATTTCAAGTCTCCCTTACAAGGAGAGGGAGAGAAACATCAATGATGGGGGAGAATTATTGATCAGCTGCCTCCTGCACACCCCACACGGGGGATTGAGTCCATAACCTAGGCATGTGCTCTGACCAAGAACCCAATAGCGACCTCCCAGTTAATAGGTAGATGCTTAACCACTGAGCAACACCAGAGTCCCCATGGATTTTTTTTTTTTTGAGAGAATGGGAGGGGGAGACAGAGAAACATTTTACTAAAATGCCAACTAACAGATTGCTCAGATTAACATTTTCAGTTACAAATCTAAAAGCCAATTCTTATTTTCTCTTTCTGTATAACCAGGTTAATGCCCACTGTGTTCTGCGTGCACCTTTTGGTGGTCAGCACATATAATAGCAACTGGTTGTTCCACTGTTCGGTCCATTGAGTATTAGGAAGACACTAATGACCCAGTGCACAAATTCATGCACAGGTGGGGTGCCTCATCATGGCCTTTGGGGATTGGGCTGAAACCAGAAGTCCAATGCTGCCTGCACTCATCCTGGCCCCGCTGTGCCTGCTACGGGCTCATGAGGGAGGTTTGCGCCCATCCCAAAGGATATGGGGGCAGTGGGATGCTCCTGCTAGCCCAGGATCCAGATCCATCCTGCTGACTTACACTGGTTGTTGGGGGCCACCTGGCAGCTGCTTTTATATCATTTCCTCCTTGTGGGGTGCCTGAGGGGAAGTGGCCACAGTGCCCGAGGCCGATGGCGCTGTCATGATCATGCCTGTAGCACTAGTCTGTTGGTGCCTGGCCTGTTCTCAGATTGGACCTGCAGGACTGAGTGGCTGCTGCCAGGCTGGTAGGCCGCCAGGACACATTTGTCAGTTGAGTGGTCGACTGGTTGGTCAGTGCTTAGCTTTTTATATATACTGTATATATAGAAGATATATAAAGTCAGACTAAAATAGTAAAAATAATTTTATTTACAAATATATACAATAGTTTAATTACTGTTTCTTATAAATTCCATTTCTATGTAACCAATTGATACTATACAAAACATTTACAAGAATATATACAAGACCCCCACCTATACATAACAACTCTGGTCCATCTGTGCTAATATCTGCAAAATAAATCTAAAATGTTAATTACCACTACGTTGCTCATAGGATGAAATAATGCCATAGAAAACACAAACTTGCAATAAAGTGCATTTCAAGCAACCTTAGACATCAGTTCTCTTTTTAAATAGGTTTCCACAATTCATATGGACTTTTTTTCTTATTTATTTTTAGGGATCCTGAAGAGGTCTCTTCAGCAGTATTTGCTACTGAATTCTGTAAGAGAACAAATTTCCAAGTCAGCTTCCCAGGCACACACATATTGTACATACTTAGAATATTTGCTTTACACAAAACATTAAATGACTCCATTTAAGACTGAAATTTAAGCAACACCAACCAAATGCCAAGTGTGAACCTCATCTATAAATAACCTCACTCTAACTTAAGCCCAGAAATGGCCAAGTATAAACAAACATATATGCAAGACATACTACAATATTAAGGTGTTAAAAAAAAAGGACAAGGCCTAACCAATTTGGCTTAGTGCCAAACTGTGGCTCTTGAGCCACATGCGGCTCTTTGGCTCCTTGTGTGGCTCTTCCATAAAATACCACGGCCTGGGCAAGACTATTTTGAAGAAGTGATGTTATAAGTTTAATAAATTTGGCTCTCAAAAGAAATTTCAATCCTGTTGATATTTGGTTCTGTGGACTGAGTTTGCAGACTACTGCCAAGAGACCTGCAGGAGGCAGCCGACTAATTTCACTCTCACATCAATGTCTCTCAAAGTTTAATTTAAAATTTTTTAAACTGGCACAAAAATATATTGAGATTAGCCCTGGCCAGTGTTACATAGTTAAGTGTTGGCCTGCACACCTAAGCTGGTCAAGGGTTCTATTTGTTGTACCCTCCCTGCCCCTGTTCCTACGGGAGGCAACCTGTCCATGTGTCTCTCTCAAATCAATGTTTTCCTCTCTTCTCCCTCCCCTCCCTTCAATCCCTTCCTGAAAAGCAATCGGGAAAATATCCTCAGGTGAGAATTAAAACTTATGCATGCGTGCGTGCGTGCGTGCGTGTGTGTGTGTGTGTGTGTGTGTGTGTGTGTGTGTAGAGACTATTAAGTCTATAAAGTGACTTAGTAGACCCCCAATTATCACAGCAGACAAAAAAGCCCATAAATTGGATGTTATGTTCCAAGTCCAATTTTTGAGTGGTCAGTGGTTAAGATACTTACATTAGAGCTAATGCTTTTTTGCTGGGAAGACTTTTCATTGGCATTTTTAGTTCCATCTTCTGTTAGCTTTTCCGACAGCTAGACAGAAAGAGAAAATATGTATTTTTAAAACTGTATTTTTGGTTTACAGTACTGTGTACAAGCAGCCCAACTGCACATAAATTTAGCTGTAGAAACACAGCGAATCAAGTTGGATCTAACCATACAGCTAACAGTGTAAACAAACATTGGCATGTTTTTCCGTTAACAAAATTGATACAATAAATGGATCTGATGAAGAAATGGCTTCCCCATAAAGCTATATTTTATTCCCAAATACAACTTAACTCTGAAAATCAAGCCATACCAGAAAATACCTACCATGTTTCCCTCAAAATAAGACATCCTCCAAAAATAAGACCTAGCGCAACTTTGGGAGAAAAAAATTAATGTAAGACACTGTCTTATTTTCGGGGAAACAGGGTAGTTGTTAAGAATTAAGCTGCGATTTTAAACCAGTGTGCTGCAAGTATTTCTACAACATGCAATACCTGACTATTTAGTCAGGGGCACTGATCTCTTCCCTTTTATTTGGCAACAGCCAACACAATAGCCATCTGGTGTAAATGAATCAAAATTATACCTTTTAAACCATATCAGCAAAAAATATTTTTTTGGTGCCACAAAATTTTAGTAATTATAGTTTTGTGTGCCATGAGATAGATCAAAGAGGTTGAAAATCGCTGAACTAAGGCATTAGCCCAGATGGGCACCTAGTCATCTGAAAAAGCAACTCGACTAAGACTTTGTCTACTAATATGTAAGCATACCCATAAATCTGGGCTTGAATGATAGGATTATCTACTATCTTTCCTGTTTACACAGACTATCAATTTTTAACTACCTTAAACCTTTAAAGATATGGACTTTATACTCTGGGTTTCAAAATAACTTTAAGAACAAAGTGCAATTTGCCAATGCACATCCTGCACATTTCTGTAGAATTATAAACTTATCTGCAAGTGAACCAGGCTTCCTCTTCTGTAATCTCTCAAAACATCTGGAATATATTGCATATATTATGAAATGGACATCTCGATCACAGATGCCCCAACATTACAAAGTGCACTTTAGTTTAAAACTGTCTTCAGTATAGTACCTATCCCAAATTCTAACATGCACATAGATCTACCAACAAAAACTAAGCTTTCAGTGTGTGAATATAAACCTCAAATTAGTTAAACCTCTGGTGCTTTTATGCCCATGTATCAATTACCAACAGATTTTCTTCAGCAATGTCTGGAGACCACATTCATGATTTCTATAAGACAGAAATAAAGCAGGTAAACTATACTGTATGTTGAGTACAGAATTTCTGGGAACATTATGCTGGAAATGAAAACTACAGATACTCTGAAAAGACAAGAGAATTTTGGTAACTACATAGAAATCACCAAAGTACCAGCTACAATCATGAAAACAATTGTGTCAACTGAAAATAATGGTCATTCATCTCCCACTTTTATGGAAGAGACCAAGTCTAGTAACAAATTATATTTAGCTAGCCTTTCCAAGAAGGCTGAGGTAAATTGAATAAAAATGCTAATCAGACTGAAATGGAAGCTACTTCTTAAATCATGTTCCTGCTCATGCTAGCAACTGTTAGCTTCCAGTCTTCTGCAAAGTCTTGTGCAGCAAGTCCAAGGACTCTGAGTAAACAAGAGACTCGTTTAGTAGCTAAAAATATTAATATGTCCATAATTCTGATTTCTCATTTTGTTGTTTTGCATTGGCATTATTACTTAATAGCCAGAGTTTTGCTGTTGACATTCAAGTTTTGAAAATAACATGTATGTAATTTAAAAATAAGAAAAAAAATTAAAGAAAAAGAAAAAAGAAAAAAATGCTAATCAGGTTTTTCTGGCAGCAGCTTTCTGAAGATTTTGTCTGGATAAACCTAGAATACTTACCTCAAATTTTGCACCGTTATTTGATACAATTCTGAGACTAGGGGGCAATTCAAAGTTGGTTGTTCCTAAGGCTTTTGCTGCATTGGCTTTTGCTATTTCTAACAGCTCCATTCGATCTACAAAAGAAACACAAGATATTCCTTAATTTTACAGTATTCCCCAAGAGAACTCAGTATCACAAAATAAGGTTGCATTTTACTTATAATAGCAAAACAAATACTTATGCAAAATATACCCTTATTCATGATACAAATTTCTACCTCTTTTGATGAGTAAAATAAGCATCCCTAAATAATTTCAAGTTTTCAGTTTTCCTGACCAAAGTCCTAGTTTTCATTGTTTTTGCTCTCTTCAAATGTATTCTGAACACCGTACTTAAAAAAAATTTTCATACAGTACATCTCTCAACTAATGAACCACCAATGATAAATTACTAAGTCCATTTTCAGACTTAAAAGTGTTTTTTTAAAAAATATATATTTTATTGATTTTTTTTAGAGAGGAAGAGAGAGGGATAGTTAGAAACATCGATGAGAGAGAACCCCCTGCTGGGGATGGGCCCGCAACCAAGGTACATACCCTTGACCAGAATCAAACCCGGGATCCTTCAGTCCGCAGGTCAACGCTCTATCCACTGAGCCAAACCGGTTTCGGCAAAAGTGTTATTTTTTTTAAAAACCTATTCTCTTTTCTGTTTCATGATCCTATCCTGGAAGTCATTTGTTTTTAAATACTGAACAAAATCCTTGTTGTTTTTGGCAATATAGTACTCACTTTTGAAAAAAAGAATGTTTTGATCCTGTTTTTCACGTTCTACAATGAACTTAGCAGAAACTTAGGGCGAGCAACGGAAGTCACGTACATTTACGAGACTCCACAAAGTGCAGCCACAAGGAGAGGTGGTTATCTGCCGTCACGTGGCCAGAGCCACTCACGGCCCACAGCTTAATCCCAAGGGGGAATTAACGGTGTACACTTAAACTGTAGTGTCCACTTAAAAAACTGTAGTTTTAACTGTTAACCTGCTTATGTCTTCCTCCCTCCTAACAAAACTATTGAGACTTCAGGCACCTAAGAAAACGAATTTATTGAAAACCACACCGCAGCTTCTTACACTGTGGGCGCACGTGTGAAAGGGAGCGGAGGAAGGAGGTAGTACTACTGCACCGCTCACTCACCTTTCTCACTTAAGCGGAAAGGCGTGGGGCTCCGCGACCTCGACCTGGACCTGGATCGTCCCCGCCAACTCCCGTGATCCTCCGGGTACACTGTGCGGCCAAAGCCGTAGAAGCGCCGCCCCCGCGTGACCGCATAGGCCCTCCGGTAATAGGACCGGCCCCGAGAGCGGGACCGGCTGCGCGATCGGTCTGGCGAGGGAGACGGAGACCGATAGTACCTCCTCGAGGAGGCGTAGTGCCTCTCCCGGTACCGGCGGCGGCTGTGGGACCGCGACCGGCTCCGCGAGTAAGAGCGCGAGTAGCGCCTGTACTTCCTCTGCTGGCGCCTTCGGGACCGGGACCTGGACCTGCTCCTGCGCCGGGGCCGGCTCCCGCTGCTGCCGGACGACCACCGACTGGAGCCGCTGGAGCGGGAGCGGCTCCGGGCCGCCGAGGACAGCCGGCTGGACCCGCCCGCGGCCGCCGGGGACTGAAGGGGCGAGCCCGGCCACATATCGTTCACGTAGTTGGACATCGGAGCCTGCGGCAAGAAGCTTCCTTGTCTCTGAGGAACGTTCCGGAAGATTCGGTTCCTAGAAACGGAGGGGGAGGGGAGGAGTGACGCCCCGGAAGTAAGGCCCGCGGGCGGCTGGGGGGAGGGGACCGCGGGCCTAGACAAAGCGAAGAGACTCTCCAGTTCCGGTGCAGTCGACGCGGGACGCCGGCCTTCCAGCCCGCCCCGTGGCCCCCTTTGTGCACCATGCCGGGCCCCGCACTCTCCCCGCCACCCACGCCGAGGTTCCCGCGGGTCCGACCTCGCCGCCAAAACACTTACCACAGGCCGCCGACCTCCACGCAGGACGAAGAGAAAGGCCCAACGGACGCCTCCCTCCCACAGCCAAGCACGAGAACGAAGGGGAGTTCCACAGCCACTCGCGACCGCGAACACCAGCCTAGCACCTCCGACCTCCGGACGCGAACTGAGCTGGGCGGTCGCTGACGCGTCGAAATTACTAGAAGCTGACGTGTAGCGCATGCGCAGAAACGTCGGCGCGATGGGCGTGGCCTCCTTTTCGCCCAACCGCCGCTCTTCCCTTCCCCGCGCGCCCCGCCCTCCCTGTCCTCCCCCGCCTGGCGCAGCGGCCCCCGGGATGCGCACGCGCGGCCGCGCCGCGGGGGCGGGGCTGCTTCATCCGGGGATTGGAGGCCACGGGGACGGGGCTGCTCCATCCGGGGATTGGTTTTGTTTTTCTGGTTGAGCCTTTGTGAGGCATTGGCCTCTCCGCCTCTTGTGTCCTTCTTGCTCCTCTCTTGCTCCATGACTCCCCTCTCCCGTTCTTTCTCCGTGGCCATGTGTATAAGACAATGGCCCATGAACTTCCGAAACCCACACGCAATAGACTGCAGCTGGGAACCCAACAGCTAAGCTAGCCAGATGCTGGACTGAACTGGAATGTAATAAGGAACAGAAATTCTGGGCAATGGCCTTAATTCTGGCCCTGCTGAAGACACAGTTGTACTTTTTCCATGGCAGTACGGATGGTGATGGGACCTTGGAGGGGAGCCCCCTTAATTTTACATCTTTAGTAAAGCTTTCCATGAAACTCCACCCTCCCGTAAAAGGTCTCAGGAAATCCTTTTCCTCTGAGCACCCTAAGAACTCCACTTCCACCAATAGCACCTTCACCCCTCCCACTATGGGAGGGCACAATAAGAAGGCTACCATCTGCAACCTGGAAGAGGGCCTTAACCAGAACCTGCCCACGCTGGCACTCTGTTCTTGAACTTGGAGCCTTCAGAGCTTGGAGCCTTCAGGCGTGGCTCAGTGGTTGAGTGTCAATCTATGAACCAGGAGGTCATGGTTTGATTACTGGTCAGGGCACATGGCTGGGTTATGGGCTCGATCCCCAGTGTGTGGCATATAGGGGGCAGTCAATCAATGATTCTCTCATCTTTGATGTTTCTATCACTCTCTCCCTCTTCCTTCCACTCTGAAATCAATAAGAATACATTTTTTTTTTAAAAGAACTGTGAGAAATAAATTTCTCTTGTGATAAGCCACCCAGTCTGTGATCTGTTGTCATAGCAGCTGCCTTTATTTCTCTTGAGGATGTTGTTGCTGAATAAAGAAGGATGTAAAATTGACAATTAGCTTTAGATTTGTCCATTTACATGTTATTTTCAGAAAAGAGGGAAACGTGAGTAAATGGTAACTTATTTAAGGATCTCATATAAATTCTCTAGAAATGTCTACAATTTGGAACTATGCTTGATTATCCATTCAGCAAGCATTTCCCTCAATTTCTTTTTCTTCTTCTTCTCCTTCTCCTTCTCCTTCTCCTTCTTCTTTCAGTTACAGGAAAATCACAACATGATTTTTACCTTGGAATAGATTATAGGCATCTGGATATTACACTGGTTTTAGAAGAGGCAAATATTACGTTTAAAGAACTTGGTCTATGTATAGTATCACATAAAATTAGCACCAATAAAGAGAGAATTTTATGAAATTTGTAAAAATAAAAATTCAAACATCTAAGTTTATATATATATATATATATATATATATATATATATATATATATATAATCTTTCTGGTAGGGTCTTTATTTTTTTTAACAGGAAACTGTGCTCATAGAGACTGCTTTGTTACAACCAGTCATGTGCTTCATGGAATCTAATTAGAATATACCATTAGAGTCTTAAGATTTTCATACTTCCCTTTTTGAAGACCACTTGGTACTTTCGAAAAGTTAAGTTTTCTGAACAATGCTTGTGGTTCATTCTTCCTTTGAGAGCAAGGGCAGAACCACGCAGTCACTCAGCTGCAGGACACACAGATGGCCAGTGTGTGGCCATGTTTAGATGCCCTTCTGAAAGCTGATGCCACAGCTCTGTGCATGGATTACAAATGCACCACAGGGTTATTTCTCTTTCTCTCTTTCTTTCTTTTTGTTTTGTTTTGTTTTGTTTGTTAATTTTATTGATTTTCCACAGAGAGGAAGGGAGAGGAGAGAGATAGAGATCTAGAAACGTTGATCAGAGAGAAACATCGACCAGCCGCCTCCTGCACACCCCCCACTGGGGACGTGCCCACAACCAATGTACATGCCCCCGACCGGAATCAAACCCGGGACCCTTCAGTCCACAGACCGACGCTCTATCCACTGAGCCAAACCGGTTTCGGCTATTTTTCTTTCTTATTGCTCAGTTTGCCAAATAGAATATGGGAAATGAACATGAGATTTTCTTGCACAATTTTTTATAGATATATGATCAAAGTGTAAGCTCAATTGCTTAAGAAAATCATAAACATGGTTTTTTAAAAATATATTTTTACTGATTTCAAAGAAGAAGAGAGAGGGAAAGAGAAAAACATCAATGATGAAAGAGAATCTTTGACCTACTGCCTCCTGCACGCCCCCTATTGGGGATCAAGCTGCCCTGACCAGGAATTCAACCATGACTCATAGGTCAACAACACTCAACTACTGAACCAGGCCAGCTGGTCATCATAATAAACACAATTTATTCACTCAATATGGCTGTAAGTAGGTTGTTACTGTGGAGTATCCTGGTATGGAAAAAGTATTATTTTCACTAAAAATTCTGAAGACCCAGGTTCTTCCCTTCTCCCACATAATACTTAAAAACAAATAAACAAACAACAAAAAATACATGCACACACACATTTTTGTTGTACAAGAGAAAAGTAAGGAGACATCATAACTAAATGTAACATGATCTTCTGGATGGGATTTTGGAACAGAAAAAAGGTCGTCAAGTAAAAATTAAGGAAATCTGAGTAAACTATTGACTTTAGTTAATAACAATGTACCAATAGGGAGGACAAATGGTGACAAAAAATAAATACATAAAGTATCAATGTTAGTTCACTATTTGAAACAAAAGAACCACAAAAATGTAAAATGTTAATACTGTGGTAGGAAAGCTGTGGAGGGAGGTAATATTGTACTTCCTGCACTATTGATTCATTTTTACTGTAAATCTAAATGAAAAAAGAAAAGATAGCAACAACAACATAACTCTCATCCATGTACCCATGGAGATGGATGGTGGTAATGACTGCACAATGGAAATGTACTTAATACCACAGCTTAAAATAGTTAAAATGATGAATTTTGTTTTGTATATACTACAATACACAGAGGTGTGCCATTTTTATTTATTTTTATTTTATTAAAATATATTTTTATTGATTTTTTTACAGAGAGAAAGAGAGAGGGATAGAGAGTTAGAAATATCGATGAGAGAGAATCATCAATCAGCTGCCTCTTGCACACCCCCTACTGGGGATATGCCCGCAACCAAGGTAAATGCCCTTGACTGGAATCGAACCTGGGACCTTTCAGTCTGCAGGCCGACGCTCTATCTACTGAGCCAAACCAGTTTTAGCAGGTGTGCCATTTTTACTTCAAATTTTTTTTTTTCTGTTCACAAGGTTTAGAATTAAATGACTTGGTCAAGTCACACTATTATTAAGTGGCGGAACTGATATTCGAACCCAGATTTTACTGCCTCCAAAGCCATCTCTTAACCACCTGCTTTATTGTTCTTCCATTAGTGTCCCTGGAGCCCCTCCTCCTCTTGCACTTTAGGTATATTCCAGGGTCTTACCGCCTGCCGGAAACCATCATTGCCACTAATAGAGAAATGTGAAAAGGTAATCCGGAAGGCTGGTCAATCTTAATTGCTCTGAATCGTTGGAGCTAATCACTCATTATTTAGTTGAGACATTGTTAATCATATGTAAATTCTTGCTGATTATCTATTATTGGAATTTCCTGCCTAAAGGATATGGGTGTATCTCATACATCAATAAAAAGGATAGCAAAGACCAGAGCAGTGGTAGTTCTCCCACTAGAGTTGGACTGCCGCCTGGCCCTCCATATCACCAAAACTAAATTTCTTCTAGTTTCTTTTCATTTGTGTGCGGCCCTTCTCCAGAACCGGAACCCTGAACCACACGGGACGTGGAAATTCACAAAATGTCATATTCTGTGATAGCTCTTCTTGGAGGCGGAGCTACGGCGAGGGCGGGGCCAGACTCGGAAAATAAACAAGACTTAAAAACTCACAATTGTGCTGTGGAGCCAGGACTTGGACCCACCTTTTTTTGTTTGTTTGTTTGTTTGTTTTAATATATTTTATTGATTTGTACAGAGAGGAAGGGAAAGAGATAGAGAGCTAGAAACATCGATGAGAGTCATCGACCAGCTGCCTCTTGCACACCCCCTACTGGGGATATGCCCGCAACCAAGGTACATGCCCTTGACCAGAATCGAACCCGGGACCTTTCAGTCCCCAAGCCGACGCTCTATCCATTGAGCCAAACCGGTTTCGGCTGTTTGTTAATTTTTAATGTATTCTTATTGATTTCAGAGAGGAAGGGAGAGGGAGAGATTGAAACATCAATGATGAGAATCATTGATGAGCTTCTTCCTGCACGCCCCCCTACTTGGGGAATTGGGCCTGCAACCCCGGCATGTCTCCTATCCTCTGAACCAAACCGGCTAGGGCTGGCCCCATCTTTTGCACCACGGGGAACCTGGCATTTCTCTTGGCACCTACACCTGAGATAACTGGGGGGCCGGCCCCAGCCCTAGAACATTTACCGCCTCGCTCAAGACGGATACAAAGGCTCAACGGGTGCCTCCCTTTCCAAGCCTCAGTACAAAGAGTTACTTCTCGCACCCGCAGTTGAGAGGTGCTTCCTAATTACTACTGGCCAGTTTGGTTCAGTGGCTACGGGACCGGCCTGCGGACTGGACTAAAGGGTCCCAGGTTCTATTCCGGTCAAGGGAATGTACCTTGGTTGCGGGCACATCCCCAGTCAGGGGGTGTGCAGGAGGCAGCTGATGGATGTTTCTAACTCTCTATCCCTTCCCCTCCTCTCTGTAAAAAGTCAATAAAATATATTTTTTAAAAGTTTTCTGATTTAAAAAAAAAAAAGAGAGAGAACAGCGCGGGGGCAGAGCCCCGCCTGGCCACTGCCGGCAACGACCATGCGCAGAGACGTCTGCGTCATGGGCGTGACTCCGGCCCTAGCCCCGCCCCTTCTCCTCCCACCCGACGCCCCGCCCCCCGTCCCTGTCTCCGCATGCGCGTCCGAGACCCGGGGGTGGCACTGCTCCATCCGGGTATCCGGCGGCCTGTGGTGGTTTTGTTATTTTGTCCGAAACCGGGAGCGTGAGGCGGCCCCGAGTGGCACGACACCGGGCTCCGGACCGACTGCACGGGCGGGGCTGGACGTAAGTGCCAGGAGGGAGCGGGGGAGGACGGCCGCGCCGCGGCAGGACGGTGCTCGGACCCGGACTCCGAGCCGGCAGATGCTGAGTAGTGGTCGCCCACTCTGGGAGCCGCAGGCGGGCTGTGCCCGGCGGGACCTCAGGCTGCCTCCTTCGGAGCTGGTCCCGCGGCGGCGGAGAGGGCCCCGCGCCCGGACCCCGCCAGCTGCGGGCCGCGCCCTCCCCGGGACTCAGGAGCCCTGACACTCGCCTTGCCGCCCTGCTTCACCGCTGGAGAAACTGAGGCGGGCCGGCTCCCCCGGCGAGCCAGATCGGCACCCAGACCTCCCCGTCCACACCCCACACCCAACACCGCGCCTGTGGGCGGAGCTGGGCCGCCGGTGCAGCCATAAAGCCCAGGAGCAGGGACCGGAGGCGGGGCGCCGGGGAGAACCGAAAGTAAACACACACCGGCGTGCGGTTCCTCCCGGGGAAGGCTAAAACGAGTGCATTTTCAAAATTAAGCTTGTTTTAAAGGCAAATCAGCCCAGGTTATATCGCAGTTTTTAATATTTAATTTTAAATAGGGAAGGCACAGTTGGATTCGATGCTCTTTATTAGGATACCATGTTTTTAGACCGTCGTGAGTGCTGGCTGCAGATAGCTTAATGGATGGCTTCAGATTGGCTGTGGGGGTTTGGGTGTCTCTGGATTAATCAGCAAGTTATACGTAATTCTGGCTTTTTCATGCCCTGAAACAGATACTATGGCTGTGTCTCAGGCCATGTCTGTACAGCTCAGCTCGGAAGAATGTTTTATGTAACTTGGTCAACTATGGTAATTTAGCAGTGCATTTTTACATCTGAATATTAATTTCAATGTTGTATTTTCTTTTGGCTGGAAAATAGCTGTTAGAATCAGAGAGAGAGGTATCAAAATGAAATGGGTGTTCTTTTTGTAGAAATGACACCAAAAGCCAGGCTTGGAGAAAGAAAAAAATAATGAGGTGGTATGAGTAGACCTGCAGTGCAGTGTTTTAATTTCTTAATCTGAAGAAACACATTTTCAATAAAGTGTATAAATTCATAAGAGAAATCTTTTTCGTCTGCATGCTTTAACTCAGCAAAAGTTGATCATTTGTGTCTCCACCTTGTTAGTGCTCCTGGACTGTAAATATCAAAATAATATAATAACATAGTTTAGAATTAAAATTAATAATTAGTATAACAATTTTAAATACTTGGCTATCTACCTTTGTTCAGATTGCTTAAATATACCAAAATGATCTCTTATTTTTTATTGAGGTATAATTGAAATATAACTTTAGTTATGGTATACAGTATAATGGTTGGATATGCTTTATATTGCAAAATGTTCACCATAATAAGACTAATAACATCCATCACCATATAGTTACAAAATTTTTCTTGTGATGAGAAATCACTCTTGTGATGAGAAATCTACACTCTTAGCAACTTTCAAATAATACAATACAGTATTATTACTCACTGTATATTATATCCCTCCCCAGGACTTATTTATTTTATAAATGCCATATTTTAAATTAAGAAAAATACTAAATAGGAAAAAAGGGAAAATAAATGAATCCAAATTTTGTTCTCCAAAGTTATAATGTGGAAGTCTATTAAAAGTTAAACAATGTTCTGAATAAGTGTATGTAGCCAAACTACAATTCAACCTTGCATAACATGGTTTGAACTGTACAGGTGGATTATAAGCGGGTTTTTTTTCAATAAATATACAGCCCTCCGCATCCTGGGATTTCCCATCCCAGGAATCCACAGATGCAGAGAACCTACTGTATGCATTGGTCTACACTATCCTATATAATGAAAGCCTAATATGCTAAGTGTCCAGTTGTCTGGTCAGCCAATCAAAGCATAATATGCTAATGATATGCTAAGGCTGCTCAACTCCTTATTATATGCACTGACCGTGTGGGGGGGGAGGCAGAGTGCAGACAATTGACCAGTTGACCAGTCGCTGACCACCAGGGGGCAGACGCTCTGACTGATAGGTTAGCTTACTGCTGGGGTCCGGCTGATCAGAACTGAGTGAGCCGGGCTAGATATATACCCTGGAGACCTCTCCTGGTCCCTCTCTGGCTGGCCAACCTCCCACATCCCTCCCTGGCCCTGATTGTGCACCAGTGGAGTCTCTCAGGCTGGCCAGCACCCTCTTGCAATCCGGGCTGAGGGATATCCCCCCACACCCACCTCCTAGTGTTCGAATTTTGTGCACCAGGCCTCTAGTTTTATGTAAGGGACTTGAGCATCCTTGAATATTTTTAAAAATTATTTTTATTGATTTCAGAGAGGAAGGGGTGGGGGGGGGGAGAGAAAAAAAAACCACATCAATGATGTGAGAGAACCATTGATTGATTGCCTCTGGCACACCCCACTCTGGAAATTGAGCCCACAACCCAGGCATGTGCCCTTGACCAGAATTGAACCTGGACCCTTCAGTCCACAGGCTGACGCACTAACTACTAAGCCATACCGGCCTGGCCATCCTTGGTTTTGATATCTTTGGAGATCCTGGAACCAATCTTGCTCCTTGCAATTCCCCCCCCCCTCCCTACCTTCCCACTGGTTACTGAGGGACTATAGTTAAGTTTTTGAGGAGTTAGATTTCCCACTGTATGAGTGTTGGGCTCCCCTAAACCCTCTTGTGTTCAAGGATCAACTGTATTTGTAACTTTACTTTCATTAAGTTATTCCTGTGCTATTAATTATTTTCTAAGAACATAAGTCAGGTTTGAAGCAAGTAAAAAGAAGTGCTTTATTTAACTGTTTTTCTTTGTTTTTTTTAAGTGACCTGAAAAAATGTCTGGATTTCTAGAAGGCTTGAGATGCTCAGAATGCATTGATTGGGGAGAAAAACGCAATACTATTGCTTCCATTGCCGCTGGTGTTCTGGTAAGTGTCACTGATAATTTGGGTCTTCACTGTTCTGGTGTGTTTGTTTTTATTTTAAATTCTGTATGATGTTTTAAATTAATGTTTTTCATTATATATTTGTCCTTGATAATATCCAGAACCAGATTCAAATAAAATAAATTATCATTTGGTGTTAAATTGATTTTCGCATCCTACCTGAAACATCTGTGGACTGTACTGTAATCAAAAGGAAATGCAGAACTGCAGCCATTATTCACAAAGTCAAGAGAATAGCTACAATTCTATCAACAATAATTATTCTCCATATTACTTTGAAACTTTGTTTTATTTTTCAATACATATATCTTTCTGGAGGCTTATAGTATATCAGCAGCCGGCTATTAAATTTGTCAGTTGGAATCTGAATCATTTCTTTCTCCTGCCATGAGATAATTGTACCTGATTTCTAGTTCCCAAACCTAGATTATAAACTTTATTATGAAAGTATAAATAATGACTAAAGTAAACATAGAAAAGAAGTTCATGTTAATAAATATTCATTGCTGTCAGATTTAAGGGTGTCTAATATTTAATCCTATATTATACCATATGTAAATGTGCCAATTACATGTAAGAAATTGCTGGGACATTAAAGAAAAATCGGAAATTCATTGAAGGGATTCCTTCCCTTTAATACCTTGCTTTGTTTTGAGCCAGTAATATATGAAATTAATATCCGAAATTTCTCCTTGACGTCACCTTTTTTGTTTGTTTGCTTTAGTTTTTTACAGGCTGGTGGATTATCATAGATGCAGCTGTCATTTACCCCTCTATGGAAGAGTTCAACCATTCATACCACGCCTGTGGTGTTATAGCCACCATCGCCTTCCTAATGTAAGCGTCATTGTCAGTGACACTATCTACATAGTTGTCACAAAGTAAAAATGTTTACACATAGTTGAGTAGATTTAAATTTTTGAAATGTTGTGGAGTTAACAGGTTGTGGAGTTAACATTGTTTAAAAGTCATAACAGAAGACTTAAAAAGAAAAGCCACAGCGCTCTTTTCTATTCTTCCTTCTACCTCTCCTCTTCCACTTCTATCTCCCGGCTTCTCTCAGCTGTCCTATTTCTATTCTATCAATGCTTATAACATTACTTTTAGGTCAGAAGCCATGTACTTTGTCTAAGGGTTTGTTTATTCATCTAACAAATATTTATTAAGCTTTTATAGTCCCAGACTCACTCTGCTGTAAAAACAGGAAATACAGTAGCGAATAAGCCAGGAAAATCCTTGACTTTTTTGGAATTTATACTCTAGTGAATGAGGCAGATAGTAACAAAAGAGAAATCAGTTTAATCATAGCATGTTAGATAACGGTTAGCACTAGCGAGAAAAAGCAGAGGAGGGAGACACGAAATGTCAACAGAGCGTGTAGAGATTTCACGCCAAGTCAAGCAATGCCTCACTAAGAATGTAGTTTTTGAGCAAAGACTTGTAGAAATGAAGTAACTTATCATGGGGAGAAACATAAAGAGAGGATCATTTCAGACCGCACAAGTATCAGGACTCTGGCATGGAGATCAGTAAGATTGGAGTGAAGGGTTAAGGTAATAAAAGCTAAAGAAGACTGAGGAAACTAGAGAAACACTAGGACAAAGTGTACCTCATGATTCTGGACAGGATACTTTTGCTATTAAGAGCATTATTGGGAAGGGAAGGGAAAACAGCATTATGGGACAGTTGGGAAACTTGAATGAGGTGTGAAGATTAAATGGCAATGAATCCTTGCTCATTTCCTGCTTTTGATGATTGTATTGTGATTCCTTCGAATCAACTGCCTTGTTTGTGGGAAATACATATAATTGTATGCCTTGTTTGTAGGAAGTACAGTTCCTGGGATTGTGGAGGCATCATGTTAACAACTTTCAAATGTTCAGGGGCAAAAATTTGAATTGTATTTGCAACTTTTCTGTAAGTTAAGACTGACAAAGCAGGGTCATAGCTATTTAATAGAAAATTGTGAATTTTATTCAAATGACTCAGCAAGGAAAAACAAGAGCTAAACTAAGAACCATTAACGCTGTAACATCTGGATTTTTAAAAATACCGGTATGAAGCTTGCCGAAACCGGTTTGGCTCAGTGGATAGAGTGTCAGCCTGCGGACTGAAGGGTCCCGGGTTCAATTCCGGTCAAGGGCATGTACCTTGGTTGTGGGCACATCCCCGTGAGGTGTGTGCAAGAGGCAGCTGATCGATGTTTCTCTCTCATCGATGTTTCTAGTTCTCTATCCCTCTTTCTTCCTCTCTGTGAAAAATCAATAAAATATATGTAAAAAAAATAATTTAAAAATATGAAGCTTGTTTTAAAATATATCTGTTTTGCCTGGCCTGTGTGGCTCAATGTTTGAGTGTCAACGTGTGAACCAGGAAGTCACAGGTTTGATTTACTGTCAGGGCAGGTGCCTGGCTTGTGGAGTGATCCCCAGTAGGGGGCATGCAGGAGGCAGCTGATCATGATTCTCTTTTACCCTCTTTTCCCTTTCTCTCTGAAATCAATAAGAACATATTAAAAAGTAAAAATAAAATATATCTATTTTATGTACCAGGTAATTTAGTTTATGTCATTGACCTTGAGAGCTTGTTTGGAGGTTCTAGCAGGGGAGCGCAGCTACAGGTATACAATTGATCAAAGACCGGTCCTCTCCTCTTGGGGGAAAGTCGTCCTCTTCGACCAAGTGCGCAGCTTCGGGAGGGACGCACATGGATCGGTGAGGGAGGAGGGGAACACCCGCCTAGCCAGCCAGATCAATGGGGTGACAGATGTCGCAGCCAGATCGCCCTCACATCCTAGTTAATGTCATTGAAAATAGCCCTAGCTGGTTTGGGTCAGTGGATAGAGGATTGGCCTGTGGACTGAGTGGTCCCAGGTTCAATTCTGGTCAGGGACCCATGCCTGGGTTGTGGGCTCAATCCCCAGTGGTGGAGAGGGTGTGTGCAGGAGGCAGCCGATCAATGATTCTCTCTCATTGAAGTTTCTGTCTCTCCCTCTCCCTCTCTGAAATCAATAAAAATATTTTAAAAAATAATTATGAACATTTAAAAAATTTATATATTTTATTGATTTTTTACAGAGAGGAAAAGAGTGGGATAGAGAGTTAGAAACATCAGTGAGAGAGAAACATCAATCAGCTGCCTCCTGCACACCCCCTACTGGGGATGTGCTCGCAACCAAGGTACATGCCCTTAACTGGAATCGAACCCGGGACCTTTCAGTCCACAGGCCAACATTCTATCCACTGAGCCAAACAGGTTTCGGCTATTATGAGCATTTTGATCATTCCAAAACAGATTTGAGTCCTCAGTGGTTAGAGCATCAGCCCAAGGACTGAAGGGTTCCTGGTTCAGTTCCTATGAAGGGCACAGACCTCGGTTGCAGATTTGATCCCCAGCCCTGGTCAGGGCATGTGTGGGATGGGAGGCAACCAATCAATATGTCTCACATTGATTTTTTTTCTCTATCTCTCCCACTCTCTCTAAACATTGATGGAAAAGTATGCTCAAGTGAGGATTAATAAAAACAAAGAAACAAAAATAAAGTTTAGATTTGAATGAATAAATTAAGACTATATTATTGAAAAAAAATTAGGGTTTAAATATTCAGTACACTTATTGAACACCTACTATGTGTTAATCCCAGTGATAGACACTGAAAATAAAAATGGGGAACAAGCCCTTGCCTTCATGACACTTGTGTTGGTATATATGTGTGTGTTAAATGTATATAATGTTTAACTTTTTAACTTGCTATATTGTGAACATTTTCCCATGACATTTGAACATTTTTAAGGGTTCTTCTAAAGAAGGCAAGGCTATCTCAGTCTAGAATGGTACTCTATGAAAGTCAGCGAGAGACTTTTTATGTTTCAAAGATCTATCAGGAAGTGAAAAAAAGATTTACCACTTGATTCTCTTTGTGTTGAGTATGCCTGATATGTACAAATGGAAAACTAGATCGGACCAAGCTAAAGATTATTCTACTCTTAGCAAGATAAAATTTTGAGAATTTTTAAATTGAGGTATAATTGACTATTTTGAGAATTTCACTCACATTTTAAAAGGCTTCAGAATCATCTAAAGGACCTGTTAAAACTCATATTGCTCAGCTGCAGACCCAGAGTTTCTGCTACAGTAAGTTTGGATAGGGCCAGGAATTTTCTTTCTAATGTGTTCCCAGGTGGTGGCTGATTTTGCTAGTCTTGCAACTGTAACTACTGCTTTAGCACATATCTGGACAAAGGGACTTGCTTAAGGTCATATGAATCTATTACTTGAGACTTATGAGGCCTAAGATTAAATTTGAGGAACTCTGGCTTATTGTATCTGATAATTTGATGTCATGGATAGTCTCCTCTTGGCATTAGGAACCCTGAATTCTTGGTTTTATTTATACAGGATTAATGCAGTATCGAATGGACAAGTCCGAGGAGATAGTTACAGCGAAGGTTGCCTGGGTCAAACAGGTAAATAGGTACAAATAATGTCTTACTATGCATCCTTAAAATGAAAATATATATGGGAAGGCCACTTGTCTAACTCCTTCAGATTAGGAATAGAATGGAGGTGTATCTAGAGCAGAAGTTGCAGGTTCCAAGGCATAAGGTAAAAATTGCATTTGGTTAGAGTTGGCTTTAAAGTACAGAATATGCAGTTTTGAATATGTAACCCTGTGCAAGAATGTAGACATAAGTGTTTACAGTAAAGAACTGTATATAATGAATATATATGAAAACTAGAACTCGCCTTACTTTTCAGCTGTTCTATATAAATTTCATTCCCTTTTGTACCAACCTTATTTTATTGAATTAGCATTTTGAAATAGTTTAGAATCATAGGTTTTAGCGTCTGTTTTAAAATACACAACATAAAATTTGTCATCTTAGCCATTTCTAAATGTAGTTCAGTAGTGTTAAGTACATTCACATTGTGCAACCAACCTCCAGAACTTTTTATCTTGCATACTGAATATAATAATAGAATTTTAGTGTGTGGGTTCATCCAAGCCCTTCCTCCTCAGCTGAGGAAATCATGTCCCTGGACTCCATTGCCATGCACCTGAGGTAGACAGCATACAGGACATGTGTGGCAGTTTCCTAGAGTCTAGTTTGCTCAAAGAATTGAGGAGACAAATTTTTATTAAGCAATGTAAATGGTAAACTGAAAGTATTACGTCCATATAGAAAAAAACATGGATATAGGCAAATTGCAAGGTTTTTTGTTTGTATTTATAATGAAACTAGAGGCTCAGTGCATGAAAATTCACTGGAGGGGGACGTCCCTCAGCCCGGCCTTTCCCCTCTCACAGTCTGGGAGCCCTCAGGGGCAGGAGGTGACCCAGCAATCAGGGGAAGGCAGTGTCCCATCACACCTCTGCTGCTGCCACTGCCGGCAGTGCAAGCCTCGGCCGGCCCTGGGTACCTGAACCTTGGGCAGCTGCCATCTGAGGCTTGCCTGCGCCTTGGGCTGGCCCTGGGCGGCTAGGGGGCTGAGGAGACTGGGGGACTCCAGAGGCTGCCGGACCCACCTAGGGGCAGGCCCGACCAGGCCACATGCATGCTGCCCTGGCAGGGGTGAGGGGACTGAGTGCTGTCATCTTGTGGCTGTGGGCATTGCCATCTTTGAGGATGTGATAGTCAATTAGCATATTCCCTCCTATTGGTTATAGACACAGCCATAGTTGTGAGGGCGTGACAGTCAATCAACATATTCCCTCTTTATTAGATAGGCTATGAGAAGTCACTAGTCAGCTATGATCTCTCTTGGTTTGTTCATTGTCTTCATAAATGAACATAAGTAGAAGAGATACAGAAACGCAGATCTACCGTAACTTTGTAAACTAAAGCAATAGGTGAATGTTAGTAGTTAGTGTTAATAATAATCATCTATATATATATAAAAGGCTAATATGCAAAGTGTCACCTCGGGAGTTTGTCTGGGAGGCCAGAAATTTGATTGCTTGCTATGACATGCACTGACCACCAGGAGATGGTGTAGAATGAAGGGAGGTCCCAGCTGGCAGCCAGAAGGAAGGTCCCAGCCAGCAGCCAGAAGGCCCTGATTGGACCTAATCTCCGGCCAGGCCTAAGGACCCCACCCATGCACAAATTTCATGCACTAGGCCTCTAGTAAGACAATAATAGCTAGAACTAAGACTAGAAGAATATGGCCATCATCTCATCTTTAAATAACATTTTTTAGCTAGAATAGCTTTGTAAGGGTCAAAGACAAGTGTGTGTGTGTGTGTGTGTGTGTGTATTTTAATATCATATCTATGAGTAACAGCTTATTTATTTCATAACTATTATTTTATTCTATCTAATAAAATAGTAATATGCAAATTGACCATCACTCCAAACACAAATGGCTGCCTCATGTGGTCAAAGATGGCTGCCCCCATATGGATACAAGATGGCTGCTACAAGATGGCCAGCAGGGGTGGCTGTTGGGAGGTCCAGGCCTGCAAGGGCGGCAGTTGGGGGCGATCAAGCCTGCAGGGGAGGGCAGTTAGGGGTGACCAGGCTAGCAGAGGAGGGAAGTTGGAGGTGACCAGGCCTGCAGGGAAGGGCAGTTGGGGGATACCCAGGCCGGCAGGGGAGAGCAGTTGTGGAGCACCAGGCCTGCAGGGGAGGGCAGTTAGAGGTGACCAGGCCTGCAAGGGAGGGCAGTTGGGGCTATACAGGCTGGCAGGGGAGCAGTTAGGCATCAATCAGGCTGTCAAGGGAGTGGTTAGGGGGTGATCAGGCTGCAGGCAGAAGAGGTTAAGGGCAATCAGGAAGGCAGGCAGGCAAGCAGTTGGGAGCCAGCAGTCCTGGATTGTGAGAGGGCAGTCAGACATCCCTCGAGTGGTCCCAGAATGGAGAGGGTGTAGGCTGGTCTGGTGAATTTCATGCACCAGGCCTCTAGTGTTTGTATATGAAATAAATCTTTATATATAGCATTCTATTTGCCATGCTAATTAAATAAACTCAACTCAGTTCAATTTAGGCATTATAATGATTTTATAGCAGATCTTCATAAATATTATTTAAATATGATTTAACTCTTCCTCTATTAACATAATTTTAATGCAGCTTTTCTAAGTGCAAGCCATAATAAACATGTATTTATTTTGCTGTCAAACTTCCCGGAAAGTAAAATATAATAGTGTTTAGATTCAAATATCACTGAATATTAATCTTTTTAAAAAATATATATTTTATTGATTTTTTACAGAGTGGAAGAGAGAGGGATAGAGAGTTAGAAACATCGATGAGGGAGAATCATCAATCAGCTGCCTCTTGCACCACCCCTACTGGGGATGTGCCCACAACCAAGGTACATGCCCTTGACCAGAATCGAACCTGGGACCTTTCAGTCCCCAGGCCGACGTTCTATCCACTGAGCCAAACTGGTCTCAGCTGAATATGAATCTTTTGTAAGTATACCTATGTTTTTGTTTGAAAGTTCTCTTGGAGGACTTTAAATTTTGCAGCACTATTTCTAAAAATATATGAAAAACGAGTCTCTATATGTGAAACATATTTTGTAAGACTTTTATTGGACAGTTGAGGACAGTTTTTTTAGTGTAGATATTTAGGGAAAGTAAATATAGGCACTTAAAATACACAGACAAGCCAACAAGAAAAAGGCCAATGTTTTCACTATTGAAAGATACTCAACACATCTGGTATTTTTATTTTAGATTTTAATGATAACTACACATTTTTTTCTGTTAACGTAATATGGTAAGTAGTTTTTATTTTTTTAATTAAGTTAATGGAAGTGACTGCTACCATCTGAAAAACAATTCTGGTAAAATGTTATTTCTTTTAAGGTGCTCGTATTTGGCTGTTCATTGGTTTCATGTTGGCCTTTGGCTCTCTGATTGCATCTATGTGGATTCTCTTTGGTGGCTATGTTGCTAAAGGTAAGAGAGCAGCTTATATTCAATGGAATACTGAAGTTGAGCATTAAAATTGGTTATTTTTTTCATTAGCTTTTTTCGTATAGCTAGGCCACCTACTAGCAATACGTTTATGCCTAGGAACTCTCCTCTCCCTAGCAGTATTTTGTTTGGTTTGGTATATTTTTAATATCCTGGAGGGAATGGGACATAGCTCCAAGCCTTGCTATTCTTTGGTTTCCAGAAACTCAAAAGCAGAATATATATGTTCTCCAGCTACTTCGCAGATTTTTATTTGCTGAATAATATCCACGCAAAGCTCTAATATTCTAGAATTAGAATTTATTGAGCTAATAAATTTCTGATAATGACATCATTTCCTTTTATTAGATAGAAAAGTAAATTAACATTTCACGTGCATCTGTTACATGAGGCCAGTATAAGGCAAGTTCAGATAAAGGCCTGCTCTTAGATCCTTGGCTGAAACTTTGCCTAAGGGATATCAGAAAAATATGAAAAACCTTTTAATGTTTCCACATAAAATTGACTGTTTATCATAGTGAAAATATAGCATTACTGATTTGTAGAAACTGGAATAGCAGAGATATAATCTAACCCTTTACTTCTTTGAACAAAATGTGGTTCTTGAACTAAAATCATGCGTTTCCTGAATTTTTATTAAAATCTTTTAAATCTTACAGATAACAATGATAGGCATTTTAAAATATTTATATCTTTCTTTTGCTTATATGTTTATTATTAAAATCATGTTGCCAAAAATATAAAAAAAAAGAAAAAACAGAAAAAGGAACTATAATCTTACTGCTGTTAAATATTTTGGTACATTTTCTTTGGTCTTTTCTGTTTTTTGTGTAGTTATAATTATAGTATAAATAAACTCTTGAAGACTGCTTTTGCATGTAACGTAATATGGTAAGTAGTTCTCTTGCTGCTACAAAATCTTTGTCACCATCATATTAGAAAGACAAAATTGCTTTTTTTATTTGAATTGCATAATACTTGTTCATTATAGAAAACTGAACTATAAAAGAGCTCAGAGAAGAATATAAAATTACTTATAATTTTTCTTTCCCAGATATAACTATTAATACAGAGTTCCTTTTTATAGGAATGTGTTTATCTCAAAAAATCTTTAAAAATATATTTTTATTGATTTCAGAGAAGAAAGAATAGGGAGAGAGAAATAGTAACATCAGTGATGAAAGAGAATCATCGATTGGCTGCTTCCTGCATGCCCCCTACAGGGGATTGAGCCCACAACCCAGGCATATGCCCTGATCAGGAATCAAACTGGTGACCTCTAGTTCCTGGGTCAACACTCAACCACTGAGCTACACCAGCTGGGTGTTCCTCAGCACATTAAACAGTGTCAAACATAGTATGTACTCAGTATTTGTTGCATGAAGGGAGGGATTTGTCAACTACTAAACCAATACTATACTCTGTCATGTATTATATTATGTCATTTAATACTCAAACCAACCATAGTTACCAGCAAAATCAATTGTATTAGGAAAATTGATATGCATCAGATTATCAGAAACTAAAATATTTTGCCGGGACCGGTTTGGCTCAATGGATAGAGCGTCGGCTTGGGGACTGAAGGGTCCCGGGTTTGATTCCGGTCAAGGGCATGTACCTTGGTTGTGGGCATATCTCCAGTAGGGGGTGTGCAAGAGGCAGCTGATCGATGACTCTCTCTCATCGATGTTTCTAACTCTCTATCTCTCTCCCTTCCTCTCTGTATAAAATCAATAAAATATATTTAAAAAAAAAAAAAAAAAAAAAAAAAAAAAAAAGAAACTAAAATATTTTAAGATTATAAATCTCTAAATATTATAATTATTATTTTACATTATCGTTAGTATATTATTATTATTATTATTATTATTTTTACAGAAAAAGCCGTAGTGTATCCTGGAATTGCTGTATTTTTTCAAAATGCCTTCATCTTTTTTGGGTAAGTTTTGCTTTTTTTCATCCTATCTTTTCTTTTTAATGCTTTCTTTATAATAGTTTCTTTTATGCTGTTTATATATTTAGTTGCTTTATTCACCCCTGTTTAGTGCCCCTCTATGTTATTATCATAAAATATAAAGAATGAGATTTTTTTTAAAGAATAATTTATTAACTTTTAGAGAGAGAGGTAAAGAGAGAGAGAGAGCTGAAACCGGTTTGGCTCAGTGTGATAGAGCGTCAGCCTGCGGACTGAAAGGTCTTGGGCTCGATTCCGGTCAGGGGCATGTACCTGTGTTGTGGGCACATCCCCAGTGGGAGGTGTTGCAGGAGGCAGCTGATCAATGTTTCTCTCTCATCGATGTTTCTAACTCTCTATCCTTCTCCTTCTCTGTAAAAAAATCAATAAAATACATTTAAAAAAAAATAAAAGAGAGAGAGGGAGAGAAAGACAGAAACATCGATGCTCTTTCTACTGCCTTCTGCACATCCCCATCGGAGACCATGCCTGCAACCTGAGCATGTGCCCTCGATCAAGAATTGAACCAGCAACCTCTTCATGCAAGTGATGGTGCCCAACAATTGAGCCCCACAGGCCAGGGCAAGAAATATGTGTGTGTGTGTGTGTGTGTGTGTGTGTGTGTGTGTGTGTGTGTATATATATATATATATATATATATATATATATTTTTTTTTTTTTTTTTTTTTTTTTTTTTTCCCCCAGAGAGGAAGGGAGAGGGAAAGAGAGTTAGAAACATCAATCAGCTGCTTCCTACACATCTCCCACCTGGGATACACTCACAATCAAGGTACATGCCCTGACCAGAATCGAACCTCGGAACTTTTGGTCCTCAGGCCGACACTCTATCTACTGAGCCAAACCAGTCAAGGCCAAGAAAGATATTTTAATATATTTTTTAATTGATTTTTTACAGAGAGGAGGAGAGAGGGATAGAGAGCTAGAAACATCAATGAGAGAGAAACATCGACCAGCTGCCTCCTGCACACCCCCTACCGGGAATGTGGCCGCAACCAAGGTACATGCCCTTGACCGGAATCGAACCCGGGACCTTTCCGTCCGCAGACCGATGCTCTATCCACTGAGCCAAACCGGTTTCGGCCCAGAAAGATATTTTAAATACATGGGTTAGTTTGCTGCCAATCTTTGGAATATACATTGATTTTTAAAATTGCTACCACCACCCTGGCCAGATAGTTCAGGTGGAAGGAGCATCATCTTGATAAGCCAAGGTTGCGGGTTTGATCCCTGTTCAGGGCACATACAAGAATTAACCAATGAATGCATAAATAAGTGGAACAACAAATCAGTGTTTCTCTTTTTCCTTCCCCTCCCCCATTTCAAATCAATAAATAAAAATAAAATTTTTAAAGAATAGAGAAATAAATTAAAGGGAGACCTGTTAAACAAGAATCAGAATGCTTTTTTATAATTCTTTTTTTTTTTTTTTTTAATGATTTTTAGCCGAAACTGGTTTGGCTCAGTGGATAGAGCTTCAGCCTGCGGACTGAAAGGTCCCAGGTTCCATTCGGGTCAAGGGCATGTACCTTGGTTGTGGGCACATCCCCAGTAGGGGGTGTGCAAGAGGCAGCTGATCGATGATTATCTCTCATCAATGTTTCTAACTCTCTATCCCTCTCTCTTCATCTCTGAAAAAAATCAAAATATATATATATTTTAAATGATTTTTGGAGAGAGAGAGGGAGAAAGCAAAATGGCGATGTGAGAGCGATATATTGACCAGCTGCCTCCCTACACACCCTCTACTAGGGATGAGGTCTGAAACTTGGGCATGTGCCCTGACCAGGAATTGAACCAGCAACCTTTTGGTGCACAGGTCAACCTTCCAACCAACTGAGCCATACTGGTCAGGGCTGAAAATCCTTTTCTAACACATTCAGACAGAATAAATTCTCTGTTTCTGTGCTCCCTTAACATTTACTATATATACCTTTCCCCTCCTCCCCATTACTTACCACATTGGATCATCTAGAATTGAGCAGCGTGCCCTGGCTGGTGTTGCTATGTGGTTAGAGCATAGACCTATGCACTGAAGAGACAATGGTTCAATTTCCAGTCAAGGATACATACCTGGGTTGTAGGTTTGATCCCCTGCCCTGGTTGGGCATGTGTGGGAGGCAACCAATCAATGTGTCTTTCTCACATTGATGTTTCTCTCCCCACCCCCTTCTTCCTTTCTTTCCACTCCCTCTAAAAAAATCCTCTGGTGAGGATTTAAAAAAAAAAAAGGAACAACTTGAGAGCAAGGACTATATCTTATTTATCTATATAGCCCTAGCATCTAGTACCTAGTACCTTGATACTCAAAAAAAGTTTGTTGAGCCCTAGCCAGTTTGGTTCAGTGGATAGAGTGTGGACAGAAGGATCCCAGGTTCAATTCCTGTCAAGGGCACATGCCCAAGTTGTGGGCTCGATCCCCAGTAGGGGGCGTGCAGGAGGCAGCTGATCAATGATTCTCATCATTGATGTTTCTTCCTCTCCCTTCCTCTCTGAAATCAATATAAATAAATAAATAAATAAATAAATAAATAAATAAGGCTTGTTGAATGAATTGATAAAAGTCAGGCATATAACGGTTACATGTTAAGCCTTGATTAACTATTTAAGAGTGACACATATCCCCAATACTCATAGTTAAGGATGTGGGATGCTGCTGATAAATAGCACAGCTGAGCCCAGTGGAAGAATTTACTGCCTTAAGAGTGATCAGTTTCTTATTTGATAGAGTACATGGTTTTTTCATACAGCTCATCAATTATTCTTTGGTGCTAGTTTCTCACAAATCTTTGCTTTTCCCAAACTTAACTAGTCATGTAATACTTCTCGCTTTATTCACAGGGGACTGGTTTTTAAGTTTGGCCGCACTGAAGACTTGTGGCAGTGAAAACATCTGATTTACTGTTCCTGTACAATAGCCCTGCATGGGTTTGTTCCATTCTGTTTTTTATTTTTAATACTCACTCCCAACCTTTTGTAATGACATTTTCTAAACTTATTTCTGAGTGTAGTCTCAGCTTACATTTGTGTGATACTAAAATCATGAGAAATCGCTATTTAAACAATAACAACAAAAATCTATTGTGGTATGCATTTGATTAACTTATCAAATGTTAAGGAAAGGTATTCCACATGAGTAAGTTTTGTTAAGTTTTATCATGGCATAATTGTAAAAATATAAAATTAGAAGAGAAATTATGAATACATCTTATATGAGTATTTGTCATAACCAAGATCCAAAATGCAATTAAAGTGCTCTTAAGATATTATGTGTTTATTTAAATGTGGGCTCTTCTGTGTCAAATATTAAGTGAAATATAAACATTTTCTTGTTTTTAAAAACTATTCAGTGGTCAGAATTCTTTCTCACTATACTTTGTGTTGGGTTTATTCAGGTTTTCCAAATTCTGGAAATGTTTCAGTGCAAGTAAGTAGCTACTAAGTCTCCCAAAGGGTGAGTGAGCATGTCGGGAAGAGCTCCTGATCCAGCCACCAGGCTCCTCAAAAGTGCACCTTCTGGCCCTAGCTGGTTTGGCTCAGTGGATAGGGCATCGGCCTGCGAACTGAAGGGTCCTGGGTTCAATTCCGATCAAGGCACATGCCCGGGTTATGGGCTTGATCCCCTGTAGGGGACATGCAGGAGGCAGCCAATCAATTATTCTCTCTCATCATTGATGTTTCTTTTTTTTTTTTTTAATATATTTTATTGATATTTTACAGAGAGGAGGAAGGGAGAGAGATAGAGAGCTAGAAATGTTGATGAGAGAGAAACATCGACCAGCTGCCTCTTGCACACCCCCTACCAGGGATGTGCCCGCAACCAATGTACATGCCCTTGACCAGAATCGAACCTGGGACCTTTCAGTCCGCAAACCGACGCTCTCCCACTGAGCCAAACCGGTTTCGGCTCATCATTGATGTTTCTATCTCCCTCTCTCCCTCTCCTCTCTGAAATCAATAAAAAATATATATATTAAAACGAAGTGTCCCTCTGTGCCACTGATCCGTCATCAGCTGTGCCACCTGGTTCTGGTGGGACACAGTCACTCCACAGCTGCCACTGAAGGAAAGAAGGAAAGGATAGGGATTGACGCTATACTCAGGTAACCCATTTTGTCGGTGGTGGTTTTGTTTCATAATAAATTGGATTCCATGTTTCATTGTATCTCTGCAGTGAAACACTATGCTCAAAATAGACCAGCCAGGTCCATTATGATTACAAACGTTAACCACTGGGAGTTCTCATAGTCTCTTCCTCTTTGGAACGCTGCTATCCCTTCCCTCTCTCCCCCACATTCCCCCAGTCTCCCCACTTTATTTAAGCCAAGTGAGATTTTTTAAAAAATATATTTTATTTTTTGCAGACAGGAAGGGAGAGGGATATAAAGTCAGAAATATCGATCAGCCGCCTCTTGCACCCCCCTCCCCCCCCCCCCACTGGGGATATGCCCACAACCAAGGTACATGCCCTTGACCGGAATCGAACCTGGGACCCTTGAGTCCACAGGCCATCGCTCTATCCACTGAGCCAAACCGGTTTTTAAAAATACATATTTTATTGATTTTTTACAGAGAGGAAGAGAGAGGGTTAGAGAGTTAGAAACATCGATGAGAGAGAATCATCCATCAGCTACCTCTTGCACACCCTCCACTGGGGATGTGCCCGCAACCAAGGTACATGCCCTTGACAGGAATCGAACCCAGGACCCTTCAGTCCGCAGACCGATGCTCTATCCACTGAGCCAAACCAGTTTTGGCCCAAGTGGGATTTTTTTTTTTTTAAAGGAGCTAACTATGGGTACATGTTCTTCAGAACTACAGTTTGAAATGTTTTCTTTCATAAAACTTGCTACAATTAACCTTCATTAAACACAAAATCTCTCTCAGATGATTTAAACCTTGTCGGCCATAGTTACCTCCCTGTATGTATGTTTTGAATGTGGCCTGGTCAAAGACATAACTGTATTGCTGTCATCCCACAGCAAATCAGCCATGGTGCGTTTCACATCCATAGGCTGTGAAAATCGGAGGGGATCTTAGAGGTTGAAGTCCCCTTCTGTTTTCACAGATGAGAGAACTCAGACCATGCAAATTGAAATCATTTCCTCAAGATCATGGAACTAGGGTTTAAAGTTAAGGCCATGCACCTCCTCAGCCGACCATGATGTCTTTCCCCACAGCTCATTCAGAATGTGCCTCGGGAATATGAACTGCTGTCCCTGGAAAGCTGTTGGAATAAAACCATAATGTCTGCAGGGACTAAATATAAGTGAGCTCATTTCCCCTATTTTTTATCATCTGCTCTGCTGGTGTAGACAAGAGTTAATTGGGTAGCATATTTTATTAAGCATGAAAAAGAATCTATGAATTGTCAAGAAGTTTAACCCAGCCCAAACCGGTTTGGCTCAGTGGTAGAGCGTCGGTCTGCGGACTGAAAGGTCCCAGGTTCGATTCTGGTCAGGGGCATGTACGTTGGTTGCGGGCACATCCCCAGTAGGGGGTGTGCAAGAGGCAGCTGGCCGATGTTTCTCTCTCATCAACGTTTCAAGCTCTCTATCTCTCCCTTCCTCTCTGTAAAAAATCAATAAAATATATTAAAAAAAAAAAAAAAAAGAAGTTTAACCCAAACCTTAATGAGGTGCCTGCGTCCAAGAAAATACTGGTAGCATCATTTTTAATGAAACCAAACATTTATTTAAAGTTGTTATGAAACTGCCATTTAAACAAGTTTTTAGTCTTTTATTTTTAATATCAAATCTATTTATGACCCCGTGTCATTGCACACAAGGAGACTGCAGTGACAAGTGTTTGTCACACACAAAAACGGGAAAGGAGGCACTCTTGTTTCGGAACAGGCCTTGTTTCTCTTGGTTGCTTTTGCTTAAAATCCAACAGCCAAATGAGGAAACTGTAAAAGCAAAGCAAACATTTTTGTTACAGATGAACCCTTCCAATCTTAAAATTTGTACACATATTGATTCTGCCTTGATCTTCTGAAATTTTTATTGACCAAAATGTCTCATCACAGAGGCTCTTGCATAAAGGCTGAATTGGAAGAGCTCCTAGACAGATCTCATTTCGTATGGCTCCATACATGGATCATTGCCTAATAGAACTCTGTGTGTGTTTTTTTAACACCGCCAGTAGCAGTGGACTCACTATCATTTAAAGGAGCTAATTCCATTTTGCAGACAGTTCAAATAGGTAACAGTTTACACTGCATTAATTACTGGGCCCAGGTACATTTTTTGGAGACGCATAGAACAGAATCTTTTTTCTCTCCAGCTCAACAGCTTCTTAGTATTTGAAGACAGTTCTTAGGTCACCTTTAGGTCTTCTCTTCTGCAAGCTGACTACATCCTGAATTCTCTAGTTGTGCCTTACCATATTGAGGCGCTTGGATCACAGAATTCTAGAATTGGAACTCAGAGTAGCTAACCTGTGGGGTGTTTTCTGTGGATCAGGGTGCTAACATTCACACACGTTATCTCCTTTGAATCCTCACAACAGTCTAGTGAGACATGACTGTTCTCTCCAGTTCAGAGATGGGGAGGCTGACGCTCTGAGAGGTCACAGCGTTAGAGGTGGCAGAGCCCAGATCTGCCTGCATCCAGAATGTGGAATTTGATCCCATTCTACCAATGAGGAAACAGCCCCAGAGAAGTAAAGCGATGTGCCTGAAGAGCTTACCAGGTGTGAGCTAGGACTAGAATGCAGATCTGCTTCTGCTAAAAGGGTAAGAGCGCACGCAGGGCATGGGAAGAGCTTGGCTGTTGGGAAAAGCCAAGAGCCAGTGACGAGAGAGAAGCAGGTGCAGGATGAGGCAGGCTACATACAACAATGTGGATGGCTCTCAGAAAAATGCCGAGTAAAAAGCCAGGTGAAGAGCATGTGTCCTGAGGTTGGTTCCATTTCTGTAAATTTTTAGAAAATGCAGACTAGTCTACAGTGATGGGGAGCAGGTGGATGGATGCCTGGGGATGGGTGTGGTGGGGTAGGAAGGAGGCGGGAGGAAATGTTTGGTGGTGACGGATAGGTTCGTTATCTTGATTGCGGCTATGGTTTTCCCAGGTGTGGAGCACATTTAAAAGTATCAGATTGAACAGGCTTTAAATATGTGTGGTTCATTGCCCGTTACAAAGCTGATAGGAGAGGAGGAAGGAGGAGAGAAGAGGCAGGTCCTCTGTTTTGCCCCTACGGAGACAGGTGTCAAGGCCCGTACTAACGCTGGTACTCTGACCCTTTAGTGATCAGTAGATGGGCAAGCAGGTGGAGAAAGGATTGGCCGGGGATTCTGAAGGCCTGGTTCCCGATCTTGTCTCTGCCACTCCCAAAGTATGATCCTGGGCACTAGCCCAACCACCGTCAGCCCCCACTTCCTGTTTGTAACAGGCAGTATTGCTCCCCGCCTCTCCAACTTCAGCTTCAATAGGAGGATTACCCAAGGCAAACTACATCAGAGTGCGTTGCAAACTGTGAGTGTAGGTCAGAGGGAGGAGGGCAGAGGGCGACAGTGTGTAGCCCAGTTAAGATAACAACGGCTACGATGTAATGCAGATGACTTCTTTGAGCTTTGTGTCCCCTGGAGAAATGACCCCAGATTCTATACTAAAAGTTTCCTTGTGTCCGCCAGCTATAATTGATCAAGAGTTGTTTTAGATTCAGCTCTGCCACTCAATCACTTGGGAGCGTGGTCAGTCCTGGCTCCACTCTGAGCATCTGTCAAATGAGGGTATTAAGACTTGCTGACTCTTGCATTCAGGATTCTATCACCTTCAGGTCAAACTATTGCCCACGTGGACAGCTCCAGGTGGGAACAAGTGTTGCCAGAGACAGCTCTCTCAACCCTGGTTCTCGCTGACTTTGAGGCATCAGGGAGCCTTTACCACATTGTGGATTTCCTCCTCCTTCCTTACCCTTTACTTCACTTTCATGTGTTTTTATTTTACTCTCATAAACACCAAATTAACATATGCCCCCATAACTTTTTTTAAGTTCATTCACTCAACATCTATGACATTTAGAGGTTAAAAAAACAACTTACCTCCCAGAAAGCTTGGTCATCAAAATATTTAACCACATGAGGAGCTTTCCATATTTTGAGGTTTAAGATGAGACCTGTTTAAATTCATTAGAAAATGTTGAACATTTAGAGCACAGCATTTGTTGTCTCAAAATATCCTATGTCAACTATAGTATCTCTGCAGAAATCCTTTTTTTTCCTCCCACAACCAGGAGACAAGACAAATGGAAGCACTGTTCTTCCTTGGCCCGCGTAATTAATCTTATACGCATCTTTTCACAGGAACTGGCAAGAGCAATTATTTTTAAAGATTTCGATGACCCTGAGAGGTGTAGGAAAACCATGGATCTGACATGCTGCCCGAGAAGGAATAGAACGGCCCTACCAGACTGTGCCCCCAACGTGAAAGCTTATCCGTTTGAAACACAAGAGCTACCATGGAGAGCAGCTCAAACAAAGTAGGCACCTGGAAGGTCCAATACTGTAAACTCCCAGCAGCCTCAGCTCCAGGTTCCGCTTGCGTAGTTAGGAAAGTAATTTATAACCATCGGCTTTTGTCCCTTCCTTTTCACCCGTCCAGGCTCTGCCCCGAGAGCTTGGCCCTGTGCATTCAGAGTAAAACCTGTCGGATTTCCCAGAATCCACGAAGTGAGCACTTACCTTTCACAGGAAGCAGGGACATGCCATTCACAGATTTATCTGTGTGTTTTTAATGATGATCGGTCTCAATGTATTCAGTAGTAAGATTAACAAGAGTGGGCGCATGTATAGTCATATTTCTCTGTTGTTGTGCATGCCTTTAACTGATGTTGGCAGGTAAGGTGCAATTAGCACGTTTCATTTTGCTAGAATTACTCAGAAATGAGCTCTATCACCGACATGAATTTTCCAGGCAGCTGAGGTTTACTCGTCACTAATGAAAATCCTTCTAAATACATAAATCCATATTGCATTTTCTCGTCATTACTGAATACATTTAGATTCTTTAAAAAGCCAAAACCATTGCTGGGAACATCCACTTATGAATTGTTATAGAACACAGGTAGATAGCTGTCAAGGGTGGTCGGCTTGCTGTCCAGCAGCCCAGGTTTTTGTGTTCCTGTGTCTGATGTTAAGAATGTCTTGCCAAAACCGGTTTGGCTCAGTGGTAGAGCGTCAGTCTGCGGACTGAAAGGTCCCAGGTTCGATTCCGGTCAAGGGCATGTACCTGGGTTGCGGGCACATCCCCAGTAGGGGGTGTGCAAGAGGCAGCTGATCGATGTTTCTCTCTCATCGACGTTTCTAGCTCTCTATATCTCTCCCTTCCTCTCTGTAAAAAATCAATAAAGTATATTTTTTAAAAATAATAAAATAAAATAATGTCCTCTGTGAGACTCTCTGCGTTCACTTCTAACATACTAGTGTGCCTTACCCCGAGGAACCTACCCCATTTCTAATCTAGTTCTAATCTTTTTTTTAATATATTTTATTGATTTTTTTACAGAGAGGAAGGGAGAGAGATAGAGAGCTAGAAATGTCGATGAGAGAGAAACATCGACCAGCTGCCTCTTGCACACCCCCTACCGGGGATGTGCCCGCAACCAATGTACATGCCCCTGACCGGAATCGAACCTGGGACCTTTCAGTCTGCAGACTGACGCTCTACCACTGAGCCAAACCGATTTTGGCTATTTCTAATCTTCCTGAGTCGGAAACCCAACAACCACACCTGATGGGGTTGAACCTTAAATAGCATAGACAGATTCCCATAATGGGGTCTCTTGACAAGTAGAATGCTTTGCTTTCAGAGGGCAACTGGTGCTATTTTGGTTGCTTGGGGGACACTTTGCTCTTCTGTTGTCCAAGTTCTTTCTAAACAGTTCCCTTGTGTCCAAAGCAACATGTGAGGAGGAAAGCCCATTGGTTTTAACTCTTTGAGGAATAATCCAGGTGTCTTTTCCGCTATTCTCTTTCTTAACCCCATCAGCGCATAAGGAACACCCGCCCCCAGCATCCTATACCAGTCAGTGAGTCCGTGTCACTTCGGTAACATCGGCGAATGGTGGAGAGCCCAGCTGTAGGGTTGCCAGATAAAATACAGGATGCTCAGCTAATTTTGAATTTAAAATAATTGGGCACCTTATACTTTCATTTGCCAAATAGGACCACTCTACCCAGAACAGAATGTAAACGTATGGATGGAAGCATTTTTCTCATCTGTATTGAATTAATCACCTCAGACTCAAAAGCTGAGGCCAGATGGTACATTAAGGTAATTCTAGACAGTTTTACTCTCTAAAGCCGCCTGGGGAACTCCAAAAAGTCCCTCCCTACATGTGTCAGAGCGGAGAGGAAGCCAGACGACTCATTACCATAATCCCTCCGTTACTCGGAGAAGCCAGCCAAGCCCAGAGAAGGGAGGTAATGTGCCTAACGCCACACCATTCATTCATGTCTGCTTATGCTGCTTGGTCTCTTGTTTCACCCACTCTCTGCTTAGGGACACAATGTATGAGTGTCTAACCCATAAAAGCTGCTCACTTACAGAGTAAAAGTGAACGTTTCTGAACAGAATGCGTATTTTTACCTGGCATGTAAGTAAGACTGGCACATTAGCAACTCTCCCAGATTCTTTGCTGTTTGACCATATTGCAGAAGCAGAAGCATACTTCAATTCTCCGTGTAAAGACTCCCAGTAGCTCCCCACCTCTCAGAGGGACCTGACTCCTTGCTACCACTCTGTCCTCACTCTATCCACATCAGCTACACCGACTTCCTTGCTGTTCCCCAAACACACAAAACATGTTTCTGTCTCAGGGCCTTTGCACACGCTGTTCCTTCTCATAGGATGCTCTTCTCCCAAATAAACACGTTGTATGTCTCCCTCCATCTCTCCATTCAGGTCTCTGCTCAAAAGATTTACTAGCTAGGCCTTCCCTTTCACCTTTCCAGAAGAGCAGACTCCCCTCACACTGACTAGTCCCCCCACTCTGATTTAGTTATCTTCATAGCACTTACCGCCATCTTGCATAGTATGCGTTTGTTTGCCTATTGTCGACTAGAATGTCAGCTCCATGAGATCAGGGCGTTGTTTTGTTCACTGCTTTGTCCCTCGTGCTTAAGAGTAGTGTCAGGCTCATAGTAGATATTGAATAAATATTTGCTGAGCCAAATAATATTACGGATGTCCTCAGGTAAGCATTCTGGCATAAGGATTTCCCTGGCCTTCTGTACAAAACTGGGTGTGATCACCAGTCCTGGCTCTAAGAGGCTGCAATCCACTCCTCTCTTCCCTGGCCCTCAGCGTCCACACCTGTGGCAGGTAACCTTGGAGGGCCTTTCCAATTCTGGAAGGATGTGATTCTGTGTGTGTGTGTGTGTGTGTGTGTGTGTGTGTGTTTTAATCATTTGGCTGGAGCTGAGGATGTGGGCTCACAGGGAACAGGATGGGCCTGTACACATCCAGCCATGAGGCAGATGCACTCTGAACCCGGGCCCCGGGCCTGGGCAGTGGTGGGAGGGTGGCGCACACTGACCTGTCAAGAGACCAGATGCTAGACCCATCGCCAGGGACAAGCTGAGCGCTGCAATGTCATAGAGCATCTGGAAGGCGATCCTGGAAATGACAAAGCAAAGATGGTCACGTCCAGCTCTCAGGCTGCAGAGGTCATGGGGACAAGCAACACTGCTTGCGTGAGTCGCGACCCTGACAGGAAGGGCCATCAGGGGAGCAAGTGTCCTCTTCCTGGTGGTATATTCCCCTGTCATCTTCCTGCAAAGCCATGCAGACATGGAGGAGGGGATTCTAAGGACCCTCTGGGTTTACTTTAATCCTCAAACCTCTGGACAATGAACTAGACCAGAAGCTAGAAAGACCCAGTTCAAGTCCCAGTTCTGTCACCAGCTGTGTGGCCCTGGAAAAACCACTCACCCTCTCAGAACCCTAGGTTCCTCATTAGGCCATTAAAGATGAAGGCCTTCAAGAAACTATGGTACATCTCCACAATGGAATACTATGCCGCCAAAAAAAGAAGGGATTCTCATCATTTGCAGCAACCTGGAGGGAATTGGAGAACATCATGTTGAGTGAAATAAGCCAGTCAATGACCGAGAAACACCACATGACCTCACCTATTTATGGATATTAAAGAACATTATAAACTGATGAACCAAAAGATAGATATAGAGACAGTAAAGCAACAAGCAGACTGTCACATTATAGCGGGGAGGGGAGGGAGATCTGAGGGAGATAAGAGATCAACCGAAGGACTTGTATACATGCATATAAGTACAACCAATGGACACAAAACTCTGGGGAGGGTGGGTATGTATGGGAGTGGGGGGGGGGGCAATGGTAAAATATGTGCACAGATAATAATTTAATAAAAAAATAAAATTAAAAAAAATAAAGATGAAGGTTTTATTTCTATCAAGTCCAGGAGGGTACAGTTTGGCCATCAGATCCCGCTCCCCTGCCTGCCCCTCTTGAACACGCTTCCCTGTTCGTTGTCCTTCGAGCAACCCCAGGACTTCACTTCAAACAGTTAAACGGCCCTGAAAGGACATTGGCGTGGCCTTGCAGTAGAAATACAGGGAACAGTGATAAACTGGACTATATCAAAGCTAAGAACTGTTCATCAAAGACACCATTAAGGTGGTGAAAGATAACTCACAAAGTGGAAGGAGGGGTTCACAGTACATCTGATAAAGGATCTATATCCAGAACAGATAAAGAATTCCTAAAAATCACCAAGGAAAAGACAAAACACAATAGAAAATGGGCAGAAGAACTTGACATTTCAAGAGAAAAAATATCCTAAAAGCAAATGAAAAGTGCTCCACTGAGTCATCAGGGAAATTAAATCCAAACCATAAGTTTGCTGGCTACATGGCTAACATACAAAAGAAGGAAACCACACGGAGTGTTAGAGAATATATGGGGGAAGGGGAACTCTCATGTGTATAGATTGGTGCAAATCACAATGGAATACAGCCAATAAAACGGATGTATGCAAGCTGTATGATCCAACAACCCCACTTCTAGGCATATTTTCACTTGAAGTGCATCCATATGTTCCCCCAAAACATTAGAATGTTTATAGCAGCAATACTAGAATGTTCCTGATAGCTCCCAACTAGAAACTGCCCACAAGGCCATCAATAATGGATCAATGAATTGTGCTGTATTCACACGATGGAACACTTGTTTCAACTGTGTTTTCTTAGGCTCTGTAATCTGTCTACTTGGTACTCATTTATCACAGGGCCAAACTAATTGGCCAGGCTATCTCTCTCTCTCTCCCTCTCTCTTGCAAGTCAGCTTTTGTGGGAATTCAAAACTCATATTACAACTCCCTCAACCACAAACTCTAACACGTGTTTTCACTTCCTGCCCAGTAGGGAATGTCCCCGCCGCCATACTCCCCATTCTCTGCTGCCTGGTCCCGTGGGACATGTGGCCTAGCATGGTATGTGGTGCTTCTCATTTTGAGGGGAACTGTAACATTAACTTGACCTCTTCATGTTGTCACTTGTCACTTATAAATTAAACCCAAGCACAATTCAATACTATACCCCAATGAAAAAGTGCAGTCTACAGAGTTCCTCAACAACATGGGTGAATCTCACAATACAATGTTGAGTAAAGGAAGCCAGGCACCCACGGACACAGACTTCCGGTATGACTCCATGTGTATAAAGAACGAAAGTGGACAAAGCTGACCAATGCTGTTAGAAGTTAGAGTAGTGATTATCCTGAGGTGGGACACGAAGGAGCTCTGGGTGCCTTTTATATGGACGGGTCACAAGATCAATATCATCAGGGTGTCTTTCATTGATCAAGAGACACCCTGATGATATTTGCACTTTTCTGGAAGTAGACTGCACTATAAAAATAGTTTGCTTGCTTTTATTTTTAAGTATTATTAAGTGGCAGAAATAGAAGCTAAATCCAAATCTGCTGACTGCCAACCCATAATTCCCTCCATCCTGATGCCATCTGAAAACCAATGGATGAAGCAGGAACCACACTACGACAGTCCCCACACAGATCCCCTGGGCCAGGCCCTCAGCTCCACGCTTTTCCAGCTTATTTCACAGCAGCCCTGTGACAAGGTGCTTCACAAACGGGGAGGTCTGGGTTAGGAAAGGGAACCGAGGGTTCCAACGTCACAGGCTTGGAATGGATGGTTCTTGGGACTCAAACCAGGCAGGTGTGTCTGCCCACCAAGGCTGGCCATATCTGTCCCTGCTTTCAGCATTTGAGGGTTACCTTTACAAATCTGGCCATTCTGACATTCCAGAAACAGTTTTTAAAAAATATTTTTCTTTAGATTGACTATATATATATATATATATATATATATATATATATATTTAAATAGACATATTTAAAATAAAACTTTGTGTCACCAATGTGGAAGACAAATGAGAGGCAACTATAAAAAAAAAATACAATGAAAACAAAACATAGCTAGACTCTCTCCAAGATGTGGCAGCTTGTACCAGTCCCTCAGCCTGAGACCTCCTCTGCTGTCATTCAAACGGAGGTCGTCGTTTGAGTGCGTGCAGACTCCTAAAGCCCAGTCAAGACTTTCTCCCTGATCTAATCAAAGGTCTGAACGAGACTTGAGAAAAAGCCAGCGCACTCTGTGATTCAATGTTCTTCAAGTATCTTCACACCTCTTAAAATCCTACATGTTGTGAAAATCTCTCAGTCCCGACTTGGAGCACTGCCCCTGACTCATTCACATCCACTCACCAATATTGGCAAATACTGTTTGTGGAAGGAATGAAGGTCAACTGGCTTGCCCAATGACACCACGCAATACAGTAGCTGATCCCCATTTCGTATGCGGTATTCTCGCCTGCCTGCTCAGTGCTTTCTCCATCTTTTAACTATTATATATTCAGATGCCCCTCCTCTGGAAGCAGCGGCATCCATAACCATAGGAAAGGGACCGTTGTTGGGTAGTTTCTCCACACCAAGCACCGTCCTGAGCCCTTTAATATGTTGCTAAGTCTTCACTGCAGTCCTGAGATGTAGATCTTATTATCCCATTTTACAGACAGAGAACTGAATCCTAAGGGGAGTTTGAGTACCAGGCCTAAGGTCACACGACTGGTAAATGCGACCTCATCTGTCCCTGAGGCCTGTGCCCTTTACTTCCAGCCGAACGAAGACCTCCTCAGAGGTCACCGCTGTCACTGTGCCCTCCCCTGTGCTGGGTTCCTGCAGAGGAGAAAGAATAACCTCTTGGTCCTCAGCTGTCTGGTCCTGGTGAGAGCTGACTTGCAGAGTGAGCTGGAGGCAGGCCACACAGGCTCTGGGCCCTTGTTCTCATCTCTCCCCAACTCCACGTTCAGTGATGTCCCCTTGATGGCAGCCATGGTGGGGGAATTAACACCATAGAAATCAGCAAATGCACTAAGTTAGGATTTTGTTTTCTTTGGAGAGTGCTCATCCTTTACTGGTATACCATTGGTTGGCTTTTTTTGTTTTGTTTTGTTTTCTCTAGGCCAGTAATGTTCAAGCTTGTGTGAGAATCACCGGAAAGGCTTGTTAAAACACAGATTCCTGGGCCCTACCTCCAGATTCCTAATTGAGCAGATCTGGGTGGGCTAGAATTTGCATTTTTCAAAAAATATATTTTATTGATTTCAGAGAGGAAGGGAGAAGGAGAGAGAGAGAGAAATAACAATGATGGGAGCGATTCATTGATTGGTTGCCTCCTGCACATCCTCTGCTGGGGAGCAACCCGGGCATGTGCCCTTGACTGGAATCAAACCCAGGACCCTTCAGTCCACAGGCTGATGCTCTATCCACTGAGCCAAACCGGCTAGGGCTTTTTTTTTTTTAATTTGAATTTTATTTTTCAATTACAGTTTACATTCAGAATTATTTTGTATTAGTTTCAGGTTTATAGCATAGTGGTTGGACAATCATATACTTTGCAAGTTGAGCCCCCTGGTATTAGAATTTGCATTTCTAACCAATGCCCGGGTGATGTTGGTGCTGTTAAGAACCACTGCTCTAGGAGAGCCATGGAGTCACAGAATTTGGGATCTAGAAGGACAGATGGTCCAGATGGTCCAGATCAGCAGCCTGGAATTTGGCCCACACAATTTTTGTAATGATTTTGAGTCTTTTGCTAATGCTTAGGAGAAGGCCTACCATTTTCCTCCTTTCACTTATCTAATCCTCTAAACCACAGGGTTCCTGGCCTCAGCAGCCTCCAACAATCCCATGAGGGGCGGTATTATCAGTAACTTCACTTAAAACCGGGGGACCAAAGCTCAGAGAAGTTAGGGAGCATGCCTCGCTTGTAAGAGGTTAAGACCAGTCTGACTCCACGGCACACTCCTCACCAGAGGTTGAAACATGGACTCACTCAGCTGGCTTAGGCCTGGTTGCCCTGCTCTGTCTGTTTTCTGAGGGGGCCTCAGGGCTATCTGCCTTTGCCTGGCACCTAAGCTGTTCCTTTTGGGAAGAAGAAGTGACCTGAAGAGGTGATGGCTCCACACAAGTTAGGGGCTGGGAAGAATTTCTGAATAAATTGGCCAACAAATACTCACCGAGGCCTGCTGAGGCCTGGCCCTGACTGCATGCACCCCAGCTAAGGGCTCTGGGCACACGCGCCCTGAGTTAGGTGGGGGTATTAAGGGAATAAGCCAGGCGACTCACAGGGGATCCTTGTACCAGCTTGTCAGGTACACGATGTAGGTGATCCCTCCGAGCAGGCCCGGCAAGCCGAAGGTGTAGTGCACGCCACAGGTGTCGTGGATCCCCAGCACGCGGTTAAAACACACCTGGGGACAGACGTCCTTGTCAGTAGATCTGCGTGTGAGACTGAAGTTCCCCGTCACCCTTTGCACCAGGGCCACCCACAGGGATGGGCTGTAGGGCTCCCGTAAGAAGCACTTCTCAGATGTGCCCGGGCGCTGGGGAGCCTGGTGAACCACAGAGTTGGGTTCAGAAGGTCTGGGGCCTGAGATTCTGCATTTCTAACAAAGGCCCAGGGAATGCCAGCTCTGCTGGTCCACTGGCCACACGTGGAGAATCAAGGGTCTAAGCCAGGCACTACTCACATTTTGGGCTATGATTCTGCGTTGTGAGTGTGCTGTCCTGTGCACTGTAAGATGCTCAGCTGCATCCTTGGTCTGTACCCTTTTGATGCCTGTAGAACCCCCACTCCAGTGTGTCAACCAAAAATGTCCCCAGATACCGTCACACGTCCCTGGGAGGAGATTAAGACCTACTGGTCTAGCCCAAACTTCACTGCCATCCAAAGACAAACGGCTGATGGGAATAAAAGTCAGGAGAAAAGAATGTGACCACACTCTGAGGCTCCCACTCACAGCTCCTCCACCTCACCACCGAGCCTCCCAGATGGTCCTCAGCCAACAGATAAGGCTACAAATGAGGATTTGTTCAGGCTACTTCCCTCCTTAGATCCCCCACTGTCTTCAGAATAAAAACCCAGACTCCTCAACTAGCTCAGGAGCTGTACCCGAGCACCTGCCGTCTCTCAATACTCTGATCCCAGGTGAGCCCAGCGCTTTAGTCAAGAAAGCATCTTCCTGTTTCCTGGCTGGGCCGTCTGCTCTTCTCACAGTTGAGCCTCTGAACACACTGTTCCTCTGCCTGGAATACATCTCCCACTTCTTGGTTATTTGTCAATGCTCAGTGGGGACATCCTCTGCTCTGGGAAGTGTTTCCTGACGTGTCTCAGGCTGGCTTAGATGCCCTGGAGCAGTCATCACCCCAAGTTGTGCTTTTTTTGTCCCTTTTCCTCACTGCGCTGTAGCTTGGGAAGCAGGATGAATGCTAGGATATATGTGATGAGTGAATGAATGAATGAGTGAGTGAATCATCCTTGAACTGTTCCCCCAGTGATAGAGTCAAGGAAATCGAAGCACAAATAAAGTGATGGATTCTAAGATTGATGATAACTTACGCATTTTCAAATACAGTTTTAAAATGTGATTTTGAGAGAGAGAGAGGAAGGGAGAAGAATAGAGAGAAACATCGATGCGAAATGAACATCATCAGTCCGTTGCTTCCTGCAGGCCCCCTGCTGGGCTCTGACCAGGAATTGTACCAGTGACCCCTGGGTTTCTGGCTAGACACTCCACTGCTCAGCCACATCTGCTGGACAACGTGTGTGTTTCCTGCTGTGTGCTACCTCCTTGCATCATAGGACCTCAAAGCCAGAGGAGATAAAAGACATCTGTTCCCATTCCAAAGATGGAAATCAGACTTTGCTCAAATTGAACTATTGGTAGTCTCTTCCTTATCTGCAGTTGAAACTGCCTCCCTGAATAGCCACTGTCATTCAAATTCAGCTTCCTATGCCACCCAAAGAATGCTCCTTTTATTCTCCACCAAGCCTTCAAAAGCCAGGAAGGTCTGTGGTTCCTGAATATTTCCTTTCGAAGTGTATCAAAAACCAATGGTCTATAAGGAAGTATTCTGGTATTATCTGTGCCTGTTGAATTTTGAAGGAAGAAAAATCCATCCACTTAGAAGAAGTAGACAATCAGAAGTGGGCATGACCTGATGATCAGCCAGCATCTTTCTTCTAGGTACCGCCCTTCCCACCATTCTCACGGATCATGGATCATGGGCAGCCGCCATGGGTGCACAGCATGCCCCACCCCCACCCCACCCCCACCCAGCCAAAGATGGGTGCAGGGTTCAAGTTAGACCAAGAGCTCCTTCTTCAAAGAACTTGGAATTAGGACCAAGAGATGTCACCCAGCTGTATCTTTGGAAAGAGATACTACACTCCACCATGTGGAGCAGCAGTGGGAGAACAGAAAGGAAGTCTACAGCATGAGAATAAAGCAGATATTCGGGAAAAACAAAAAGAAAGGAGATCAGGGCCTCCGGGCTCCCCAAACACTCCCATCCCCGGTGCCAGCCATTCCTGGGCTCCCAGGAGCATTTCTGTCCTTGGGCCCCATGACATCCCAGGGGCCTTATAAAACATTTCCTCTTACGTCTGAGCAAGCTTGATTGGGTTCTGCTACTTGTCCTCCTCTCCCTCTCCCCCAGATCCTAACACATGCACCACCCAGCTTGGGTGGGTCCTTCACCCCAAGCTTTGAAGCTAAACGGAGAGGGTGCCCACACCTGTCTGGTGCCACACAATGGTCCACCATGGTCCCAGGGTCCTTCTGGTACCAGACAAAGCAGAGGGTGTTAGTTGCCCAGCTCCTTACCGGCATAGATTTGGCTCCCCCGATGGAGATCAGCCCTGCCAAAAGGCCCAGCACCATGGCCAGCCAAGGAGAAGGGATCAGGTGGCACGGGGCACCCACAGCCACACCTCCTGCCAGCACTGCGTTGTGGATATGAGTCTGCAAAGAAACAGCTTGTGGGTGAGTGAAGGGAGACACAAGAAGGACAGCATCTTCCCCAGAATTCCTCAGCGAGCTGGTAGGCAGGCACTACTGTAAGGTGCTCCCTGCCTCAGTGGTCCTGGACTTTACCAATGGTCTCCTCTCACCCCACTTCGCAGGCTCATGGGGCGGCATTTAGGGAATCAGCTGGAAAGTCTAGTTTCTCAGCATTCAGCCACCCTCGCACTCATCAGTGATGTGTCCTCGGCGCGGAACAGCTCAGCACTTCAACGTTTCTACCGGGTAATGGGGTTTTGATTGTACCTGCTGAACGCAGGTTATTGTGAGAAATAAATGAGTTGCCACTTTAAAACCCTTAGCCCAGTTCCTGGCCTAGAACATGAGTAAACGGCCAATAAACATAAGCCATTATTATAGTTCTTATTGTTTTTATTATTAGTGTTTGCTACTTGGTGCCTATGCCACCTGTATGTACCCAATAAGCCAAATCCCGGATCACATGTCTGCTCGGTCCTTCATTCCACTGGACTGGGCCTTGCCTCCTCTTAGCTTCTCTTCTCCCTCCCCCCTTCCCCAATCCCTCTCTACCCTGACCAGGTCTAGGAGCTCTGGGCCCACAGACCAGCTTCTGGGCTTCCCTGACCTGTTGGCCAAACTTGCCTCCCGGGATGACCCCGCCTTGTCTGACCTTAGACTGCCTGTCACCATGGAGCTCAGCTGTGGGGACGCCTGCCTCCCCTCAGTACTGTTAACCTGTCACCTGTGGCCACGTTCTCTCCACTCCAGGTCCCGCTGCCTGTCTAGATTTCCCCACCACCTCTGGCTTGGCTGACTGCATGCCCTGAGCATCATGGGAACCTGTGTTGTCTTTAGCTCTACACTCTCACCATCTCCCCCTCCCAGAACTCACACGATCTCCCGGCTCCACTGATAGTAGCAGCCAATGTTTGCCCAGAACTTACTCCACACGAAGCAGGTTACATATCAAGGTCAAGTGGCTTCACCAAGGCCACGTGGCTGGGCGAACCTACTTCTTTACTTTTGATTCTTACTCCAATCTTGACATTTCTTGGCTTAAGAGGGAAAGGCTCACACATTCTATTCTAGTCTCTCTCCTCCCTGCTTTCTTACCCCCTCTCCCCCCAACTCTTGCTCCTGGCGGCTGGCTTTAATAACTGGCAGGAATGGGGCTCAAACCTGGGTCTGTCTGATGCCAATGCTGCTGGACTGAATCACTTCCCCTGGTAAGCCTTTCAGCACTGCGCAGCCTCCTGAGTCCCGGTGCCCATTTTACAAGCCACTGCTCTCCCCTGGGCCCCAGGACACAGCAGACAAGGCTCCCTCGCCCCTACACCGAGGGGCTGGGGCTGGGGGCAGGGGTGTGAACATGTGTGGGGCCCAGGGCAGCCCCCTCCTCACCATGCTGATCTTCCCTTGGGGGTGAGCCAAGGCCGACAGGGAGATGGCCGTCACTGCGCTGACCGCGAGCGCATAGTAGGTGTTGAACACGCCGTTCTTCCTTTCGTCCGGGATGCTCAGCAGAGCAGAGTTGAAACTCGGCCAGAACATCCACAAGAAGAGGGTGCCTGGGGGGGGAAGAGGGGCCCAGAGAGGGTCAGTGGCCAGAACCAGAACTCCGGCTCCCGAGCCTGAGCCTCGGCGGACTTCAGACGGGAGGTGCCCGGAGCAGGCAAATCTGGGCTCGATCCCTCTCTAGCTAGGTGACTTCGGGCAAGACCCGTGTCCTTCCTGGAGTCTCCAGTTGTAGGGCCCAGCTAACGGACTTCACAGGCAGCAAAGTCAAGGTCTTGAGAGTTTAATCACCAACCCCCAGACCTCCTGACCACGGCCCGGGATGGCCAAATGCTTATTTTAAAAGTTAGCATGCTGCCTTCATCCAGCCCCATGGCCTGCCCCCCGGGGGTCTGATTGCCCCTAAGCCAGCGGTTCTCAACCTTCCTCATGCCGCGACCCTTTCATATTGTGGTGATCCCCAACCATAATATTACTTTTGTCGCTACTTCACAACTGTAATGTTGCTGCTGGTAATGAATCGTAATGGAAACACCTGTGTTTTCCGATATTATTCTACAGCAGCGGTTCTCAACCTATAGGGCGAGAACAGGTTGAGAACCGCTAGCAGGGGCGCCGAAGACCGTCGGAAAACACAGATATCTCCATTACGATTCATAACAGTAGCAACATTACGGTTATGAAGTAGCAACGAAAATAATGTTATGGTCGGCGGCCACCACAACAGGAGGGACTGTAAGAGAGGGCCGCGGCATGAGGAAGGTGGAGGACCACCGCTCTAAGCTCTCCCAGCAGTCTGAGCTCACCATTTTCACCGCAGCTTTTCAACACAGACCGTTTTTGCTTTTTCAGTCCCTCCCCTCTCCTTTCCTGTCGTCAGGGCCCTCCTTTCTTCACTTGTCCATTTCCCTCCTCTAAGTTGAGGCCAAACAGATTGGGTAAACTCATTGACACGCCCGTGGAGGGGGCTTTCCTCTCCCCTGGATGTGAAGGAAGAGGGTGCCTGCAGGGGAAGGCTCCACTCAGAGGCCTGAGTTCATCCCTCGCCACGTGGGGAAGTGAGCCGTGGCAGAGGGGCTTCCGAGGCGGCGGGTGGAAGAGATTTTCTGCAGAGTTCGGGAGCCTCTTGCTCCCCCCCTCCCCAGGTACAAGAACCCCCCTCCTCCCCGGCCTTACCCAGCATGGCAAACAGACTGGGGCTCGTCTTCCTCTGGTCTTTCTCCTCCGCTTCCCTGGGCAGAGGTCTGGAGAGGCACCAGGCCACCGTCAGCCCGAAGTAGGCCGCGAACACGTGGATGTGCATCATGCTCACGTGGGCGTCCGCCTGCAACCAGCCCAGCGGGAGCAGTGAGTCTCGGCACCCTCCGCCCACCGTAACCCCCTCTTCCTTGGAGAATGTTCTTTTTTTTATATATATATAATATATTTTATTGGTTTTTTACAGAGAGGAAGAGAGAGGGTTAGAGAGTTAGAAACATCGATGAGAGAGAATCATCGATCAGCTGCCTCTTGCACACCCCCCACGGGGGATGTGTCCGCAACCAAGATACATGCCCTTGACCGGAATCAAACCTGGGACCTTTCAGTCCGCAGGCCGATGGTCTATCCACTGAGCCAAACCGGTTTTGGCCTTGGTGAACGTTCTGAGCTTCACAGAGAGGGATGACTGGAAGTCATGAGACGGGCGCTTGAAGCTTATCCCGCCCAGCGGTTCCCCTTTCAGAGGACCCCGTGAGCAGCTGAGTGTCTCTTCCAGAGACGGTGCTGGGTGGTCTTTTTAGTAGCTTTTATTTTTACTTCTTTAAAAAAAAAAAAAAAAAAAATATATATATATATATATATATATATATAAAGTTTTACAAATGTCTCCCTTTCCCCCTATTGAGCCCCCTCCTCCTCCCCTGCCCCCAGCCATTCCCACCCCCGGCAAGCCCCCACCGCCCCAGTGTCTGTGTCCTCTGGTTGTGCTAATCTGCATGCATACAAGTCCTTGGGTTGCTCTCTAACCCCCTCTCTCCTCCCCTAACATTTGTCTCTGGATCTAATCTTGTTATCAAATTATGTTGATCATTATATCTCACACATGAGTGAGATCATGTGATATTTATCTTTCTCCGACTAGCTTATTTCGCTTAGCGTAATGCTCCCCAGTTCCACCCGTGCTGTTGCAAATGGTAAAACCTTCTTCTTTTTTCTAGTGGCGCGGTATTCCATTGTATAGATGTACCACAGTTTTTTAATCCACTCATCTGCTGATGGGCACTTGGGTTATTTCCAAATCTTAGCTATTGTAAATTGTGCTTCTATGAACATAGGGGTGCATATATCCTTTCTGGTTGGTGTTTCTGGTTTCTTGGGATATAGTCCTAGAAATGGGATTACTGGGTTTCATTTTTAACTTTTTGAGGAAACTCCATACTGTCTTCCACAGTGGCTTAAAATATATTTTTATTCATTTCAGAGAGGAAGGGAGAGAGAGAGAGATATCAATGATGAAAGAGAACTATTGATCAACTGCCTTCTGCACGCCCCAAACTGTGGACTGAGCCCGTAATCCCAGCAGGTGCCCTGACCGGGAATCCAAGGTTGACCTCTCGGTTCATAGGTCAATACTCAACCACTGAACCACACTGCTGGGCTACCAATAGCTTTTAAATGCTTTTGGCCAACCCTCGCTGGTGTGGCTCAGTTGGTTGGAGTGTACACCGGAAGGTCACAGGTTCAATTCCCAGTCAGGGTACATACCCAGTTGTGGGTTTGATTCCTAGTTGGGGGGTCTGGGGTGTGTGCAAGAGGCAACCGAATGTTTCTCTCTCACATTGATGTTTCTTTCTCTCTCTCTCTCTCCCTCTCCCTTCCTCTTTCTCTAAAATCAATTAAAAAACAAACAAACACCCACATATCCTCAGGTGAGGAGTAACATAAATAAATAAATAAATAAATAAATAAATAAATAAATAGTCTAGGCCAACGTCCACTAAGATGGGGCCAAAAGCCACATGACCATGTCCCCACTGCTTCCTACTTTTCAGCAGAACTTCATGGAGTGATGAGTGTTGTAAACTCTGCAACATGAAACAGCCAGATTTCTCATAACTGAACTAAAGTCCTTAGTGCGTCCTAGATATATGCTAATTTTGCTTTATAAATATCAAATATAGAAATCCTTCATAACTCACTCAGTGGGCTACTCCTGAATCCTGTCAACTGTGCCTTCAAAAAAATATCCAGAATTGGCGGAATTTTCACCACCATACCTCAGGGACCTCACTTTGGTTTAAGCCACCATCACCACAAACCCAAATGATTAAAATAACCTTCTTAACAAGAGACCGAAGTTAACATCCTAGGTAATGAGACAAATGCCGCTGCTGGCTGTGTCATCTTGGGCACCAGCTTTCTCATCTGTGACCATCTCACCTCCGGGTCAGAACTGCGCAGAAGAGCCGGGGAAACCATCTGGCCTGGCCTCAGCCTCCCTTGGCCTCAGCCTTAGCCTTCTGACAGTTCCCCCCATGAGGCCCCAGGTACAGCTCGTGACACCCATTGACTGGTTTGAAAGAAGATGTTGGCCATGCAGCTTGTTAGGCCACAGCTGGGGGATGTGGGGGGAATGAAGTACCTTTTTATACATCTTATAATTATCTTGTGATTCCTACTATGTCATATTCTAGAAGCGAAAGGCATTCATTTGCTATGCTTAAACATTTAGCATAGACCCCACCTTTGTCACCCCATGTGGGCCTGCTGTATTATTTAAAACTAGAGGCTCAATGCACGAAGATTCATGCAAGAATGAGCCTTCCTTTCCCTGGCTGCTGGCACTGACTTTTCTCTGGCCTGGAGCCACCTTTCTACCTTTTCTCTATCCTGGAGCTGCCTTCCGCCTTCCCATGCTGCCCAGAGACCTGGAGCAGGTGCGGAACACCTGTGTTGTCACCATGGCACCACCCCATGCCACTCAGAGCCTGTGTAACCCGCCATCTTTGTTGGGTTCATTTGCATACTCACTCCTGATTGGCTGGTAGGCATCACAAAGGTATGGTCAATTTGCATCTTTTCCTTTTATTAGTGTAGATGCTAGAAGCTTCACCAAATAGAGGCCCCCTCTTCCACCTCCTCGTCCACCCTCACAGCACCATGACTCACAGAGAGGAATTGCTGGCTGATCATCCTCGTGGCACTAAAGGCTGTCACCTCCATCAGCACCAACAGCACCAGCTGCGCCAGGTTGGCTTTCCCCAGGATGGCACCCGCAGAGATCAGCACAGACATGGCAGTCATGGTCGCCTGCTGAATCCTGGGGAGAGAGGGCGAGACAGGGAGGACTAAGGAGGAAGGATGACTCTCGTGCATGCACTCGGTCACTCACTTATTTAACAAACACTTACTGAGGATCTTCTTATTCTCTGCCTGGCACTTACTCTCTGCCTGGCACTCACTCTCTGCCTGGCACTCGGGACACAGAGGAGAACAGGAAGGCGAGATTTCCGCCTACCTGCGGACGGGTGCTGCCCAGCCTGGGGTTTCCTTCGTCCCTTTCCCCCGTCAGGGTGGCATCTACACTCAGAGAGACTGTCTCTCGTCCACACTGAGGGTGCTCAGAAGTTCTCTAGGAATGCCACAGTGAGTTACAGGCCAAACGTTCCCTCGGGGCTCCCTCCTGGGATCTGACAGCTGGGACTCTGCCCATGGCTTTTCCTCTGCCGGCATTGCTCACAAATGCTCAATAGAGGGCGCTCTTCGCCTGCCGCCCGCGCCCGCCACCCTACTCTCCCCCTCTCCGAGGGAGTGGAGAAATACTGGGTTTGGAAGTAGGACAAGCCTGGCTTCCAGGCTCAGCTTTTCCACTTGAGCAGCTATTTAATCTCACTGAGCCTGCTTCCCCACCTGTGGACGAAGAATGATAATAAAACCCCACGGTAGTCCGCTGGGGATTAAAGGAGTATTTGTGCATGTGTGGCGGCACAAAGAATTACTGAGAAGTAGAAGCCGGCATTATTAGTATTATTGATCTCTTCCTCCTCTTGGCAAATGAGCAAGCTCAGTGTGAGGATTCAGGATAAAACCATGTTTGTTTCTGAGGAACTTGTGACTCAGCTGGGGAGATGGGGCTGGCTGACATTATGAACCCTGATGTAACCAGGCTAGCGAGGGAGACATGGAAGGGAAAGAACAGTTCAGGCTGGACTCATCGAGGAGGGCTTCCTGGGGGAGGTGGCACCGGCTAGAGCAATACATGGTGGTTAAACCAACCCATCCTCTCCTGAGCACCTTGCTCTGAGACACCCCCACCCCCTCCACTTGGGAGTTGATAATGATGATGCTACAACCAACATCACAATAACAATAATTTGTTAAGCGTCATATATCACCTCATTTAACTTTTTTTCAGTTACAGTTGACATTCGATATTATTTTATATTAGTTTCAGGTGTACAGCATAGTGATTAGACATAATCTTTGAGGTGATCCCCCCGTAATTCCAGCACCAACCTGGCACCATACATAGCTATTACAAAGTTATTGACTATATTCCCTATGCTGTATTTTTACATCCTTCCACCTTTCCCACCCAGCCTCCCAACCCCCCTCCCACCGGCAACCATTCGTTTGTTCTCTGTACCTATGAGTCTGTTTCTGTTTTATTTGTTCATTTATTTAGTTCTTTAGATTCCACTTATAAATGAAATCATATGGCATTTACCTTTCTCTTTTTGACCTATTTCACTTAGCATAATAATCTGTAGGTCCATCCATATTTTTACCAATGGTAAGATTTCATTCATTTTTTATGGCCAAGTAATATTTCATTGTATAGATGGACCACATCTTCTTAATCCAGTCGTTTATTTATGGGCACTTGGGCTGCTTCCAATCTTGGCTATTGTAAATAACGCTGCAATGAACATAGGGGTGCATACATATATCTTTTAAGATTAGTGTTTTGGATTTCTTCACATGTATACTCAGAAGTGGAATTGCTGGGTCATAAGGTAGTTCTAGTTCTACTTTTTTTAAAAATATATTTTATTGATTTTTTACAGAGAGGAAGGGAGAAGGATAGAGAGCTAGAAACGTCGATGAGAGAGAAACATCAACCAGCTGCCTCCTGCATACCCCCTACTGGGGATGTGCCCGCAACCAATACATGCCCTTGACTGGAATCGAACCGGGGACCCCTCAGTCCGCAGACCGACGCTCTACCACTGAGCCAAACCGGTTTCGGCTCTAGTTCTAATTTTTTGAGGAAACTCCATACTGTTTTCCATAGTGGCTGCACCAATTTGTAGTCCCACTAACAATGCACGAGGGCTTCCTTTCTTCCACAATTTCACCAACATTGGTTGTTTGTTGATTTACTGACAATAGCCATTCTGACAGGTGTAAGGCACTATCTTACTATGGTTTTAAATTTTCATTTATCTGATGATTAGTGATGTTGTATTATTAATGAATATAACCTTCCCATCAGTAGGCTGACTTTTCATTTTGTTGATAGTTTCCTTTGCTGTGCAAAACTTTTTGGTTTGATGTAGTTCTACTTATTTATTTTTTCTTTTGTTTTTCTTACAAGGGGAGATATACCAGAAAAAGAAAATATTCCTAAGAACAATGTCAGAGATTTTGCTACCTATGTTTTCTAGGATTTTTATGGTTTCAGGTCTTACATTTAAGTTTTCAATCCATTTTGAGTTTATTCGTATGTGTGGAGGAAGAAGGTGGTCTAGTTTCTTTTTTCTTGCTTTCTTTTTTTTGCATATACCTGTTCAATTTTCCCAACCCCATTTATTGAAGAGACTATCTTAATCCCATTGTATATTCTTGCCCCCTTTGACATATATTAATTTAACATATAAGAGTGGATTTATTTCTGGACCTCTATCCTGTTCCATTGATCTGTTCTTAATCCCAGTACTAAACTGTTTGATTACTATAAATTTGTAGTATAGTTTGACATCAGGTAGCATGATAACTCCAACTTTGTTCTTTTTTTCCTCATGATTGCTGTGGCTATTTGGGATCTTTTGTAGTTCCATATAAATTTTAGGATTATTTGATCTAGTTCTGTGAAAAATGTCATTGGTATTTTGATAGGGATTGCATTGAATCTATTGATTGCTTTGGGTAGTATGAACATTTTAATGATGTAAATTCTTCCTGTCTATGAATACAATATATGCTTCCACTTATTTATTTTGTCTTCAATTTCTTTCTTCAATATCTTACAATTTTCTGAGTACAGGTCTTTTACCTCCTTGGTTAAATTTATTCCTACATATTTTATTTTATTTTTGATGCAATTGTAAATGAAATTTTCTTAATTTCTCTTTCTGATAGTTTATTATTGGTGTATAAAAATGCTACCAATTTCTGGATATTAATTTTGTATCCTGCTATTTAATTGAATTTATTTATTAGTTCTAGTAGTTTTCTCTATATCATGTCATTTACAAATAATGACAACTTTACTTCTTTACAATTTGGATGTCTTTTATTTATTTTTCTTGTCTGATTGCTGTAACTAGGACTTCCTCACTTACATTTTAATCCAAGTGACCCTCTGAAAATGGTGCTAGGGTACCATGCAGTTTTTCCATCTTACACACGAGGAGACCAGAAGAGGAGACTTTTTTTTTTGGCAACGACCACACAACCAGTTAATGACAAACATGAGGTTCAAACCTAGTTAGCCTGATTCAAAGACTGTGCTCTGAAGTCTGTACACAGCTCCCCCAGTGCTTGCTGCCAATGTAGGGTCCCGCTTAAGGTCAAGGACTTCAGAGGGGCAAAGGGCAAGGGAAGGAGTCTCACAGGGACCAGGAGTTACTTAGATTCTTACTGGGTGAGGAAAACAAAGGACAAAAGCTGAGTAAGTCAGGCCTCTGCCCTGAAGAAACTGGTCATGGATGATTCAAGGCTGAACCAAGTCAGCGCCAAGTCAGGCTTCACAGAGCGGGCAAGACTGCGGGAGAGGACCCATGTGGAGGCAGGCCTGGGCGCCACCCACCAGCCCAGTCCAGCTGGAAAGGTCAGGAAGGAGCCCATTGTTCACATCTGTGATGCCAGGCTCAAAGGGGTCACACCTGGGGAGGATCCAGCTGTCAGAGGCGGGGCAGGGAGGTTCCCTCGGACGGTACATGACCTCTCCTTGTCTTTCTAGGTTGAGTCAAGAATAAACAGGTCCCTGCGGGCAGGACCTCAAAGAAGGCAGCAGCCCAGAGATGCCTGTGGACTGAAACACAGGAGGCTGAAGGCTTGTGTGCCATGATGCCCAGGCAGCAGGAACACCAAGACCAGGGCTATCCCTGTCAGAGTGCCCCCAGCGTGCCTTGGGGTGCATCCCATGTGATTACTGGGGTCATCGAATCCCTACGGGGATTAGCTCTAAAACGTTCTAGAAGAAAAAAATGTGGAGAGTTTTGTTTGTTTGTTTTCAGGGCCAATAGGGAGCTGACTATCCCATGTTTCATGTCCTGACTACCTGGAGTGTGACAAAGCCAAAGCCATGTCCCCACTTAGCTGTGTGACCCAAGACAAGTGCCTTACCCTCTGAGCCCGTTTCCTTGCCTGCACACCAGGTTAGACCTCACCTAGAAGGCTTACACAAAACCGTGTTTGTCAAGTGCCTGGCTCATAGACAGGAGTGCTCAGAGGGTTAGGAGCGTCTCAGAGGGGAGGATGGAGGGACCTTGAGAGGTGACCAGTTCCACAAGATGCCTACAATGAGATGTACCATCATCTGGGCAGGACAGAGATTCGGAGTTCCATAAAACAAACAAAAGTAATAAAATGTAAGAAAACATTTTACCTCATTCCTCCTGTCAAGTGCTAATATTTTAAAAAAGTGTATAGCTCAATATATTAGTATATACCCTTGTGAAACCATTACTCGAGATAACAAATAACACTTACTATACCCCCGTAAGGTTCTTTGTGCTCCTTCCTAATCAATAACTACCGCCTTCCCTGGGTAACCATTATTCTGACTTCTAGTAAACCGGGTTAATTTTTATGGTTCTTAGAATTCCATATAAATGCATCTAAATGGATCAAAACTGATTTATAGAAAGTAAAGATATGGCTGTTTCTTGTTGATCAGCATTTAAGGACTGAGAATACCTCTTTCTTTTCAAGAGACTGTCTCACTGAGTATGATGTTTCTATTTCTTTTTGTCTTCACTCTATGAATTTTTATTTGAATCCTTCTTAACTGGGTAACTTTCCAGAATTAAACCCAATAACAAAGAAAAGACTTAGGGATTTGAGTTTGAATTTTAGATAAACAATGAGCAATTTGCTACTATAAGTATATCCTAAATATTGAGTTTGAATTTTAGATAAACAATGAGCAATTTGCTACTATAAGTATGTCCTAAATATTGCAGTTTTGATGCTAAGAAGAGAAATAGACATCTGGCTTTTCTAGAATTCACCCTCATGGGCCCCATACCCTCAAAGAACCCAAAAGGAATCCAGCAGCCATTGGGTTTTTACCTGGACAGTTTGATGAACACTTTCTCTAAGGCGGGATTTTCCAGAAAGCCATCCAGCAGGACTGCCCACTGCACCCCGAGGGCCAGCATGAAGAGGTTGAAGGCCACGCTGCTCCAGCTGTATCTCCACAAAGACGAGGAGAGGAAGCCCAAGCCCAGAGCCGCCATGACCACCATATCCTGTAAGACGGCTGAGGGAGGAGCCACCGAGGAGGAGGAAGAGAAGCAGATAAGATAGAGCAATTATTAACTAATTACAAACTAATTACTAAAATTCTGCAGCACATCAAAAAATACATTCTATTTTTTGCTGATCTGACAAAAACAGTATAATTTTGATTCATTCACACCAGAGGGCTATTGTGTTGGCTGTTGTCATATTAAAAAAAAAATATATATATATATTTCATTGATTTTATAGAGAAAGGGAGAGAGAGAAAGAAACAGCCATGATGAGAGTGAATCATGGACTGGCTGCCTCTCCATTAGGGATTGTGCCTGCAATCTGGACATGTGCCCCGACCAGTACTCAAACGGTGACCTCCTGGTTCATTGGCTGATGCTCAACCAGGGAGCCACACCAGTCGGGCATGTTGTCATTTTTTTTTATTTGACAATCTAAGGGGAAAGAGGTCAGTGCCCCTGACTCAACAGTCAGGTATTGCAAGCTTTAAAAATTCTTGTGGCGCCAGCCAATGTGTCTCAGTGGTTGAGCATCGACTTATGAACCAGGAGGTCATGGTTTGATTCCAGTCATGGCTGCCCTGGTTGCCACCTCCATCCCTAGCAGGAGGCAGCCAATCAATCCATGATTGTCTCATAATTGATGTTTCTCTTTCTCTCCTCTCTTCCTCTCTGAAATCAATCATATATATATTTGTGTTTTTTAAAATATATTTTATTGTTGTTTTTTTTTTTTTTTTTTACAGAGAGAAAGAGAGAGGGATAGGAAATTAGAAACATCGATGAGAGAGAAACATCGACCAGCTGCCTCCCACTGGGTACATGCCCTTGACCAGAATCAAACCCAGGACCCTTTAGTCCTCAGGCCGACGCTCTATCCACTGAGACAAACCGGTTTCAGCAACAAAAATATATTTTAAAAAATTATTATGGCACACTGGTTCAAAATTGCTGAGGTAGAGGGCTGCATGAAATTAGAATTAAATATATATATATATATATATATATATATATATATTATTGATTTTTTACAGAGAGGAAGGGAGAGGGATAGATAGTTAGAAACATCGATGAGAGAGAAACATCGACCAGCTGCCTCCTGCACACCCCCCACTGGGGATGTGCCCACAACCAATGTACATGCCCTTGACCGGAATCGAACCTGGGACCTTTCAGTCCGCAGACTGACGATCTATCCACTGAGCCAAACCGGTTTCGGCTGAGGCAAGTTTATTTAAAATAAAATAAAAATTATATATATATATATATATATATAGTTATTGATTTCAGAGAGGAATGGAAAGGGAGAGATAGGAACATCAATGATGAAAAAGAGGTTACAGGCTGCCTCCTGCACACCCCACACTGGGCATGTGCCCTGACCGAGAATTGAAGCATGACCTCCTGATCATAGGTTGACACTCAACCACTGAGCCACACAGGCTGGGCTGTGGCCAGTTTCTTAACACCTCTGTGCCTCAGTTTTCATTTCTGTAAAAGGGTCCTAAGACTAGCACACCTTGAGGGGAGTTGTGAGAACTAAAGCAACAGTCTGTGTGAAGTGATTAAAACAATGTCGGGCCCCTCTGGCGAGCTTCTCCTCCCTCTTTTCTGCCCCTGGCTCCTGGGACCTTACTGTCTCGTGCTCGAGATCAGGAGGTTGAACCTTGTCCTCAATAGCAGCAGTAATAACCTTTCCTGGGTGTCAGCTACTATATGTGCCAAGCACTGGTCCTGAGGCTCTGTTCTTGCTCATATCATTATGCTTAATAATAGCAATAGTTGCTACATTTCCTGAGCACTAAGGTACATCCCCAATGGGAGGTGTGCAAGAGGCAGCTGATCGATTATTCTCTCTCATCGATGTTTCTAACTATCCCTCTCTCTTCCTCTCTGTAAAAAAATCAATAAAATATATTTTAAAAAATAGTAAAAATAAATAAATAAATAAATAAACAAACAAATTTGCCTCAGCTGGTAGAGCCAGAATTTATACCTGCACATTGGGGGGAGGGGGAGGGAGGGTAACCAGGATCAGGGCAGAGGTGGGGCCCTGAGGATGAGAAAGATCTTGGGTGGGGACTTCATGGGCACAGCAGCCACCGCTGCTGGGTACAGGAGCTCCGGGCCTTCCTCCCCAAGGCCCCGCACTGTCCCTGAGGGAAGGTGTGCAGCATCTGGGAGCTGTTGACAGAGCCCAGTCACCCCACACTCGTCAGTACATAACATGATGTCAGGCCCCCTTTTTCCTCACCCCCTGCTCCCTCCCGCTTCCTCTCCCAGGGCACTAGGCCCACACCTGCTCCTCCCACATCTCACTGCCTGGATCCCCCTTCAGGGCTGGGCCCCAGCTCCAGTGTCCTCATTGGTGTCAGCCTCCACCTCTCCGAGCCTATGCTGCACCTGCAGCAGCTGTGGGTCTGATAAACTAATGACTGAAAGGTGTTCCTGGCTGATAAGGAATTCCTGTGCCCCAGGGGCCCCAGGGTCTGGGCGCCAGAGCGGAATGTCACCCTTGAAGGCAGGCCTTCCGCAGACGTTTACAAAAGTCCCGGGAGCCGGAGATGAGGCAGTAATCACTATCATGGTAACAGCGGGCACATGCACGGTGCCCTCCACATATCAGCTTCTGTTCCAAGCGCCCTGCAGCCTGAACTTGCAACAACCTCATGCGTAGGGATAGTATCCCCATTTTACAGATGGGGAAAGGGAGGCACAGAGATGCCAAGGTCGCACAGCTGGCAAACAGTGGTGGGAGATCTGAATCCTGACTGTCTGGCCACAGCCACTATAGCATCCCGCCTAATGGTGAAGCGTGTGGGCCTCTGGGGGAGGTTGTTCAAGTTCACAGCGTGGTTCTACCTCTGTGTCCCAGCTTCCTAATCCTAATGTAAAATGGGTATGAAAACAAGGGTGCCCGATCCGAGGATTGCTATGAACATTGAACTTGCTGGCTAGCATTGGAAATCACTCAACTTAGCACTGGATGCATGGTAAGTACTAGTAATTATTACCCCATGCCTGCCACTTGCTAGCTGTGTGACTTTGGGTAAGACTGTACCCGCTCCCTGCCCCCCCCCAACCCCACCTCGGGCCTAGATGCCCCAGTAATCCTGGCTCTGTGCTCCCACCCTTGCCCCTCCTTCTGGCCTGTAGACACAGCAGCACCATCAGCTCTGATGCCAGGACCTCCTTCAGACGGTGGGCTTGATCTCCACTCTGTGTTCTCACGGCTGATTGGGAAGATTATTGCAGCCCCAACTGGGACCATTCATGGAGCCCCACGCTGCCTTCCCCTCCCCACAGACTCTATCCCACCCGTCATCCCTACAGCAGAAAAGAAGTGATTTCCCAACCAGAGGAGCAGCCAAAGCTAAGGTGTGGAAGATACCGATTTGGGGGTGTTCCCGTGTCACTGGGAAAGCCCTCTTGTCTTTCAGTAGCTCTTCCCCCCCCCGCTTCTGAGGAGTACAAGGGGAGGGGTCTGGGTGGCAGTCACAGTGCAGGGCCCAGGCTGCACCCCTACCTCCCCCCCCCATTTTGGCAGTCTTAGAGCAGGCTCTGTGTGACAGATTGTTACAGTAATGCCTCCAATGAGTCATGCCTTTTCATGTAGATCCCTCCCAACCTGGGCTGGGCCTTGTGATTTGCTTTGGCAAATGAGACATTAGTAAACATGATACAAGCAGAGTCTTGAAAAGTTCCTGCACATTGGGGCTTGCCCTCTGCTACTGCACTAACTCTTCTGCTGCCATGTGAAAAATTCCGGGCTTGTCTGCTGGCACCACACGGACTAGCTGCCAACTCACAGCTAGCGAGCTAGCAGACACGTGGATGAGGCCATCTGAGGCTATCTGACCCAGTTAATCCTCCAGGCTGGAGTTACGTGAGTGACTTCAGGTGAAACCAGCAGAAGAACCTCATTGCTGAGCCCAGGTGCTAAACCATAGGGTCGCGATTGTGAGCAAATTAAATGGCTGCTATTTTAAGCCACTCAGTTTGGGAGTGGTTTGTTATGCAGCAATAGATAACTGATACGTTCTGCTTTTCTTAATTATCTCAGAGGCACCGCAACCCCAAGCCTAAAATGAACATCTCCTTATTCATTTACCCCACCATCTGCCCTTCCCCTTGCTCGTCATCTCAGGAACTAGCACCTCCATCTGCCAAACCACACATCTGAGGCCATCTTGACAACTTAATTTTCACTATGTGCAGCTGATTTTACCTCTGAAATATCTCTTGAATCTGACTACTTCTCCTTCACTCCTCATGCCCATTTGGCCTCATCCAGGTTATCTAGGCCAGTTGTCATCAGAGTAGGGAACACACCTCAGAAGAGGCTCCAGCCCTAGCTGGTTTGGCTCAGTGGATAGAATGTCTGCTCAGTGGATAGACTGAAGGGTCCCGGGTTTGATTCCGGTCAAGGGCACATGCCAAGATTGCCAGCCCAGTCCCAGTGTGGGGCGGGCAGGAGGCAGCCAGTCAATGATTCTCAACATTGATGTTTCTATCTCTCTCTCCCCCTCTTTCTTCCTCTCCGAAATCAATAAAAAGTAATTAAAAAAAAGAAAAGAAGATGCTCCAGACAATTCATAGAGGCTGCCGGAGGAAGCTATTAGCACTTCCAGTTTTACTTATTTTTATTTATCATTTAGTTAGTTAGTTATTTAACCCTCACCTGAGGATATTTTTCCATTGATTTTTTTTTGAAAGAGTGGAAAGGAAAGGAAAGGAAGAAAGGAAGAAAGGAAGAAAGAAAGAAAGAAAGAAAGAAAGAAAGAAAGAAAGAAAGAAAAGAAAAGAAAGAGTGGAAAGGGGAAGGGAGGGTGGAAGAGAGAGAAAACATCCATATAGAGAGACACATTGATTGGTTGCATCGGACCAGGACTGAGATCGAACCTGCAACACACACAATGATTCCTGCTGTGCTCGCTGCCTTCCATTTTCACATGATTCACTCCAACTGAGCCTCCCCGGCCTGGCTAGGTAGTCATCCTCCTGCTTGGTGTGGGCTCCTCTGTGAGTCCATACACAGTAGGTGTCTGAGGACACTTTATATCTATGTTAGCAGCACAGCATGGGGGCGAAGAACACAGACCCTGGAGCCAGTCAATGAAGTTGGAACACCGGCCCCCATGCCTATTGGTTATATGAGAAGTGACTCAGCCTCACTATCGAATGGGGTCATGGAAAATAATGGTTAAGTGCATGCAGACGAAAACCAAGCTGCCTACATTTAAGTGTGCGGTGCTGTTGCTAGCTGAGTGACTTTGGGCAAATTATGTAATGTCCCTGGGAAAAACAGAGGTCATAATAGTGCCTGTCTCCTGGGGTTAGTGTGAGGGCTCAGTGAAAGCATTTAGAATAGTGCCTGGTATACAGTAAGAGCTCAGTAAACACCAGTTCTAATTAGCACGTGTCTGGATCCCACCCTGGTGGTAGCAGAGGGTTGAATGAATGAATGAATGAATGCATTGAATTACACTGTATTGGACTGTAAAGAATTAAATGGAAATGAATTAGAACTGTGCCCAGGCTTGGTTTGTCTGCAAGGGCCCCTTTGGGCCAGCCCACTAGGTGGTGTAGGGGCTTCCTTCTCTAAGTCATCTCTTTGTCCTGCTTTCCACTGTTGAGGGCCTAGGGGTACCTTCCCTTTGCTCCCCGTGAACTAGTCACTGGACGTCACTAAGGAACAAGCAAGGACTCAACCAGACTCAAGGATCAGATTTGTCTCAGGAACCTCACAAGGAGATCAGCCCATGATCAGGAGATGCTTGAAAACTCATCTCAGTTTTTGTGAAAAACAAAAACCACACCACTGTGGACATCTGTCTTGTGGGCACCTGAGTTGCTCTCATCGTCATCTGTACATATTTTTAGCTGTATATGAAATAACAACCATCCTACACTCCCTTCCGGACACACCTTATGGCTTTGGATTTGCTGACAGAATGCAGACTTTTCAGCCTCAAATTGAGGAGAGGGCTGGGAACAGAGGAGGGGCAATAGACTAAAGCTTCCGAAAGGTGGTTAATGCAGGAAAGAGCATGAGAGACCGCCCCCCCCCCCAAAAAAAAAAAAGATAGCAAAACCCCAAAACCCAACAACGTGAAATTCTGCTGCTAAGGAGAGAGAAGTTGGGGGAAGCAGGGAATGATGGAGACTATCTGTCCAAGGGAACTCTGGGAATGCCGAAGAGGAGGCTCCTCACTCCGTTCTGAGAAATCAAGGCAGGCTTCCTAGAAGAGGTGATGCCTACACTGGTCCTAAAAGAGAGCCTATGTTGTGAGTCGCATCTTGGTGCAACCTCTGGCACCAGATCAGAGAACCCCTTTCCTTGGAGACGTGGTGGAAAGGACCATTTAGGCTCCTGGAGGACCACAGACCTCCTTTGCCCCCCTCCCCTATCTGCCTCTGTGCCCACCTCCCCTCGGGCACTCACCTCCCTGAGTCACCACCTTCTCCGGATACTCTATGAAGCTGTCATAGCTGGCGAAAAAGAAGAAGATGACAATAAGAGCTGCCTGCAGCATTAAGGTCCACAGGGGCAGGCAGCCCCGCACGGACCGTGGGTACTTAGAGACCATCCTGGTGCGTCTCTGTGCCTGGTTCCACCAGCACCGGCATCACCCCTCTGTCCCCACACCCCTTTGAGGGAGTGATGGGGAGCCACCCGCCAAAAGCCTTATCTCAGGCTGCAAGGCTGGCTCTGCTGGCCTGTCTATGAAGTTAACATGGGAGCAGAGAAACTATGACGGGGGGTGGGGGGGAGATGCAATTATTCCAACATTCATTCTTTCAATCATTCATTTATTCACTCAAAAAGTAGTGGCTGCATGCCTCCTAAGAGCAGACTGTTTGTGCTCAGCTTAAAAGGGGGGTAGCCGAAACCAGTTTGGCTCGGTGGATAGAGCGTCGGCCTGCAGACTGAAAGGTCCCAGGTTTGATTCCAGTCAAGGGCATGTACCTTGGTTGTGGGCACATCCCCAGAAGGGGGTGTGCAGGAGGCAGCTGATCCATGTTTCTAACTCTATGTTTCTCTCATCGATGTTTCTAACTCTCTGTAAAAAATCAATAAAATATTTAAAAAAGGGGGGGGGGGAGAGCATTCATTCACTCAGCCCCCAACCATCAGAATTCTTTATTCATTTCTTTACTTTACCCTCACCATAGTCCTGAAAGAAAGCCAGAGAATGGATTCACAACCCCATTTTACAAACGAGGAAACTAAGGCTCAGAGGAGGCTTTAGATTGGCAAAATTTTACTTTAAAACTTCATATATCAGAGAGGGCATCTAGTGAGCTCTTAATAAGAATGTATTAAATGAGAATGAATGAGTGAATGAATGAATGAAAGCAAGGAATAATACTAAGCCCTAGGGAGGATATAGATATGCCTAATGGAGAACTCCTTAGAGTTACACAGATGAAGTTATTTATATTTGAATCTGTATTTAAATCCACTAATTTCTAAACTAGAGGCCTGGTGCACAGATTCGTGGGGTCCCTTGGTCTAGCCTGCGCCCTCTCGTAATCTGGGACCCCTTGGGGAATGTCAGGGGCCCAATGCACGGATTTGGCCCGATCCCCACAGGCCAGGTAGAGGGGCCTCTAGTATGCATATAAGATCTTTGGTTAATATCTTCCTGCCCTCCTCCTTCTCCCCTTTCCTCTGAGACTTATCAGTCTGTTCCATGTTTCCCTTCCTGTGCATTGAGCGTCTGCCCTCTGGTGGTCAGTGTGCTTCATAGCTACTGGTCAAACGGTCAAACAGTCCCTTAGGTTTATATATATATATATATATATATATATATATATATATATATATATATATATATATATCTTTTAAGAGTAAGTAGGAGAAAAGAAAGGAGGCTTCAGTCCAGTAAAAACCTGGTGGGAGACCTGATCCAGTCCTAGGCTGAAGTTGCCCCTACCTCTGGTCACTTCCTCACAGAGCAGCCTAGGAATCGGCTTGGGGCATGAGCACTTTGAGGGAAGACACCAGCCTCAGCATCCCCATCCCACAGTGGTGGGCTGTCCCTGAAATGGGGTTTAGGCCAACTGATTTCTAATTCTGACCCTGCAGCTAATTTCTCCTGTGACCCACATGCATGTGCCTAGCGGAAGCTCTGACATATAATAAGCATCAAAAAAGGAAGAGAGGGCTGAAACTGGTTTGGCTCAGTGGTAGAGCATCAGTCTGCGGACTGAGGGGTCCCAGGTTCAATTCCGGTCAGGGGCATGTGCGTTGGTTGTGGGCACATTTCCGATGGGGGGTGTGCAGGAGGCAGCTGGTCGGTGTTTCTCTCTCATCGACGTTTCTAGCTCTCTATCTCTCTCCCTTCCTCTCTGTAAAAAAAAAAATCAATAAAAAATATATTTTTTAAAAAAAAGGAGGGAGGGAGGAGGAGGAAAAGGAAAGTGAAATAAGGAAGTAATGAAGAAAGGAAGGAAGGAAGGAAGGAAGGAAGGAAGGAAGGAAGGAAGGAAGGAAGGAAGGAAGGGAGGAAGGGAGGAAGGGAGGGAGGTAGGAATAAAGGAAGGAAGGAAGGAAGGAAGGAAGGAAGGAAGGAAGGAAGGAAGGAAGGAAGGAAGGAATAAAGAAAGGAAGGAAGGATGGAAGGGAGGGAGGGAGGGAGGGAGGGAGGGAGGAAGGAAGGTTGCTTTTATTTCAGATGCTTTCTGGAGCTAACATTTACTAACGTTTACCATTGCTAAGCACTGATCTAGGCGCTCAACATGTGTGAACTCAGGTGATGACCCTACGAGATTGGAACTATTCATCTTACAGCACAAATGAGGAGGCCGAGGTGCAGACAGGTTAGTGAGCCGCCCAGGTTTCCAGGGCTGGTAAGTAGGAGACCCAGGATTGAAACCCAGGCAGTCTGACTTGTGCACGTGAGTGTTTAGCCACTTAACTCTAGCCCTCATGACGTCGAAGTCTTCCTCCAATTCCAAAGTCCAGGAATACAGGATTCCTAGCCCTCGGCTACCTCAACAGTAAATAAGGGAGCTGGGGCCCTGGCTCCTAGAGATCAGAGATCAGAAGTCTCCATTCCCCTCACGATCCCCGGTTCTGATTTCCAGCCTTTTTCTGGCCATCAGCACTTCCTATGCCCTGGGTATCCTAAGGCAGGACTCCGCTGGGTGAGGAATACATGAAGTGACCCCTGTTGGTCTGGGTCCTGGACCAGTAGCTGGTAAAGCAGGCAGTCAGACCCACTTGCCCAGGGGCACCAGATGTCAGCCAGATGAACCCAAGATCTCCAGCCCCTATGACTGCATCCCCGTGACGGTTGTATTTCCCAGCTGACAAGCCCAATATGAATGGCAGTTAGTTCCACGGGACCCCAAACACTGTGCGTCCTGATCCAGCCCCGGAGAGAGCCTGGCTGCTTGACAAGGGGGCCAAGCTCCTCACTGAACAGAGAAGCTTTCTTTAATAAAGGAAGGTTCCCCCCACCCCCGGAGTTGGCCTCTTGCAACAGGTTTGTCCAAAGGGGAGTTTTCTCTCTTCTCCTCTGACTCTTGCAAAGGCCCCTGGTTTCCGACAACAGTCGCAGGTTGTCTGCAGGTCTTCAAGGCAGGTCACCTGGAACCAAAAAGCACAGGGGATCGAGGGCGGCTGTGTCATCAAACAAACACAGTTCAATGTCATGTGTTGAATCTAGGTGGAAGGGGACTGACTTCACCGAACCAGTCTTTCCACTTTTTTGTGTGTGTGTTGGACATTTTTCATAATAAAATGGTGGGAAAAGAGCACTGTGTGCACCCGCCGCTCGCTCCGCCTGAGATACTCCTCCCAACAGACCTCAGATCCAAGCCCCTGGGACTTTCGACGATTTAACCTTCAGCACCTGGTGCTCGGTCCAGAGTAGATGTTCAATAAACATTTGTTGAAGGAGTAAGAGCTGCCATTTCTGGAATGCCAAGCTCTGCATCCATTCTTTCATTGAATCTCCCCCTCAAGCTTGTGGGTATAGGCATCATCACTTTTATTTTTATTTTTTTTATTATTTAAAAAAAAATATATATATTTTATTGATTTTTCACAGAAAGGAAGAGAGAGGGATAGAGAGTTAGAAACATCGATGAGAGAGAATCATCGATCAGCTGCCTCTTGCACACACCCCCTACTGGGGATGTGCCCGCAATCAAGGTACATGCCATAGACGGGAATCGAACCCAGGACCTTTCAGTCCGCAGGCCAACGCTCTATCCATTGAGCCAAACCGGTCCCGGCGGCCTCATCACTTTTAGTTCACAGATGAAGTGCTGCTCAGAGAGATGAAGCCAAAGCTGCACAGTTGACAGATGGCAGAGCTGGGACCCAACTTCATGTCCATCTGATGCCACGGCTTGTGTGGTGAGCTACTTTACAATTCTGCCTTCCCTTTCCTAAGCCCTTTGCAGCCTCCATTTCCACATGAGTCCCAGAAGATGAGCTTCTCTGCTTTTCTCACAGAGTTAGTATAGAAAAGACTATGTAAGCGTGAAATAGAAACGGAGGTGGGCAAATGGTGCTATGGCTGTGTCATCCCGGTTTGAGTGGTTAGGTGTGATGACTCAAGTCAGAGGGGCTGCAGCTTTCACAGGAAATCATGCATTTTCTGTAAAAACAGGACACTGCGAGGAGAGCTGCCCTGCCCTCCTCACCTCGGTCATGGGCAGTGACCGAGGAGGAACAGAGTCCCTTCCTTGTCTCTCATGAAAGGCTGACCACACCAAGGAGATGATCCTGCTCTGGGCACACACCCAGTTCAAGAGTGGCTAAGTCCATTATTCATTCATTTAATAAACATGAGCTTGAGAGTCAGGCAGCCTGGGTTCAAATCCTACCTCTGCTGTGTGACCATGGGCAAGACGATCAATATCTCTGAGTCTGTTTCTTCATCTGTCAGGTGGCTTTCACCATGGTGGGCAGCCTTGGTGAGAGTTTGAGTTCCGAGTTTATCCTTGGTAACCCAGTGCCACTTTCTCAACATGCTGGAGTAGAGGCGAGGGATAAAACAAAAACAAACAAACAAAACAAAACAACAACAACAACAGAAAACAATGTCCTGGTCTAGTCATTTCTTGCTGTCACCTACTGCCTGTCTTTCCCTGAAAGTTTATTATCCTGGAAGCCTTAAAATATACCAAAGTGGAAACAGAGGCTCTGAGAGATTCTGTAACTTGCCCAAGCTTGTAAGTGGCCAAGCTGGGATTTCTATCCTCGTCTGAAAAAGCAGGTACTCCTGCCATTTTCCTAACTTCCTCTCTGCAGGGTATGGATCCAATCCCCAAGAAGCTTTTCACGGAGGCAGATGGATGAGCCTCACCCAAGAAACCACCGATGAAGAGCAGTACTGAGGGAGATGCTCTGTGCGAAGGAGGGAAGAGAGGTTGGGGAGGGTTTGAGGACAGTGAGTAGGTGAGGCTTGCTTGCCTGGGTAGGCCTCAAGAGGGTCCCATCGTGACCAGCTCTGGACTCTATAATAAAGAGAATGGGTTTTCTCTTTCAGGCACTGAGGATATTTTGAAGATTTGCCATTAGGATACGGTAACAGAGAGCAGCGGTTGAGGACAATGCATTTGGTATAAATTGCTAGTTCCTCCTTGGAGTGGGTGTGGATTAAAGGAATGATCACAGGGCAGGGAGAGAGGTCGAACCTTCCCAGGGCAAAACAAGATGCCGTGTACTTCCTGGAATTTTAAAAACTGTGCTGGAAGGCCACCTAATAGTCCACTATTTGTGAATGGTTAAGTTGGTATAGCCACTTGCTAGACTCTACAAACATCAGAAATATCTAGGAAGGGGACATGATAACACTTAAAAATGCTTTTTATTAACTAAAGAACAGAATGCAAAATTGAGTATCTAGTATGAGCACTATTCTGTTGAATAATAATAACGTAATAGTAATATCACCCATAGAGAAAACAGGGAAGGAAAGAAAAAATAGAAAATACTAACAGGACAGTGGGTGTGTTAAGGTGATGCGATGTATGGGTGTTTTTTTCCCCCTCCAGTGACTTTTCTACATCTTCCGTTTTCTTTAATGACATACGTTCTTCTTTTTCTCTTAAACACACACACACACACACACACACACACACCACACACACACACACACACACACCCCAACTTTGCTATTTTTTCTAATAGTGATTTTGTCATACCTACGTTGCAGGAGAGTAATTTGTTACTGGAAAGGGGACCTGACCCTGAATGGGCCTAGGGTCAGTTGGTAGTGCGTGGGTTTTGCCTTGGTGCAGGAAAGTTTTTATAACACGAGTCCAGGGGATTTTGAGGGTGTGTTTATTAAAGCAGGGACAGTGAAACATAGAAAAAGCAACAGGAGAGACCTATTGGGGCTGCTTTGGTTCTCCAGAAACGTAATAGGAAAGAAATGAGCGGAGGTGCGGCTGCTTTAGCTCACTGGGAAGTCAGAGAAGATAGGATTTACTGGATGGCTGTAAATTGCGTGGCCATTTAACTGTCTCAGGGCCTTGGGGACAAGTTTGGGAATTAGCCGTGGGAGGAGCTATCACTGCCCATTGCTCCCCTGGTTTCAAGTCTCTGAGGACGTTTAGAGTTACGAGATGCATGCCTATGGGGAAGGAGGGAAGGAAAGGAAAGGAAAAGGGAAGGCAAAGCTCCCAGGAGAGAGAATACACACTGGGGCCTTCTTTTTTAGGTTTCTAAAGGCTAGGAGTTTAGGGAAGGTCTTGGGGGAGGATCTCAACATAACATTTTTTTTTTTTTACTTTAAAAATTGTATTAAAAAAATTTTTTTTGGTGGCTTTGGTTAATAAGATTATGCTTTGCCCTGGCTGGTTTTGCTCAGTGGATAGAGCATTGGCCTGTGGACTAAAGAGTCCTGGGTTTAATTCTGGTCAAGGGCACATGCCTGAGTTGCAGGCTGGATCCCTAGTGGGGGGCGTGCAGGAGGCAGTTTATCAATGATTCTCTCTCATCATTGATGTTTTTTTCTCTCTCCCTCTTCCTTCCTCTCTCTGAAATCAATAAAAATATAAAATTTTAAAAAAGATTATGTTTCAAGTGTACAATTCTATAATACATCAACTGTATATTGCATTGTGTATTCACAATATCCATCAGGTTTATGCTGATGGTGCCAAAAGATTTATTTCCTTAACTTCATCTGTCTTTGGTTGTGGTTGGCACAAACGGCACTCTTTGGATTTCTGCTATCTACCTCCCTGAGTAGAGTGGTTTACGCTATTTATCCTCCGGTTGGGGAAGAGAAGTGTAAGCCATTTACTCTTTTCATCTCCCGCCTAGTCACTCCTCGGTTCCTTTACGGGGCAGACACTCCTCCGACGCCCACGCTGGCTCTGTCCAGCAGGGGCGGCGCTCCCGGAGCCCGCCGCCCGGCCCGCCCTGCGGACGTGGAACCCGGGCTGCGCCGCCCCACGCGCACACCAACAGCCTCGCGCGACGTCGCGCGCACCCACGGCCCCGCCCCGTGACGTAACGTCAGGGGGCAGGCCCGCAGTGGCCCCGCCCCGCGCTTCTTCCGATTGGTCGCCGCGCTGTCATCACCTCGCGGGAAGCTGGCAGGGTATGTGCGTGTGTGCGTGTGAGCCTGTGTGTGGGGTTTGCTTTGTCATTTATACCCCCATCGCGCACTGACGCGGTCGGCCTGGCCCCGCGGTCCAGGAGCCGCAGAAAAGGCCCCCGGCGCTGCCCCTGGAACCTCCTGGCCGGGGAAGATGCTGCGAGCTCTTTACATAACGACGCGACTGACCGGAGCACATGTCAGCGCAGAACCCGCACATGCCGCAAACCCAGGCCTCCTTGCCGCTAGTGATAGCCTGGTGTGCTCCAGTATGGATTATACAGTGAAACGCACTCCATGTGATAATGAAGGACACAAGGCATAATATAAGGATGTTATATTTATAGGGCCTATTTATAAGCCTCTATTTAAATATTTTCTGATAGGCCCAGGCACTGGCCCAGACACCATAATGATTGGCGCATTTTTCTGTCCTTCAAAGAGGCGGGCTCTCGAGTTCGTTTAGGCTCAGTAGGCCCTCGGATTGGCCAGCAGCGACGTAGCGGCGCCTTCGATTGGCCCCAAGGGCCGTCCGTTGGAACCGAGGAGGCGGGGCCGGTGGCTGGCTGGTGCTGGGGCGGGCGGGCCCCGGAATTGTCATTTCTTTGTTTCCGAAGGCGGAGGAGGCTCTGAACCCCCCTCCCTGGCCTACCCCCCTCCCCCGGGTGCTGGCTCCGTGTCTGCGTGACCGGCCCCAGGGGTAGAGTCCAGGCCCGACGAGGGGCGGGCCGGCGGCGGCGGCGGCGGCTGAGGTGAGAGACGGCGGCGGCGGCGGCGGCGGCGGCAGCACCCGGCCCCCCAGCGGGAGGATGAAGCGGCGGAACGCCGACTGCAGTAAGCTCCGCCGCCCCCTCAAGCGGAACCGGATCACCGAGGGCATCTACGGCAGGTGAGCGGCCGCGTCCCGGCCCCCCTGCGGCCTGGACCCGGAGGCCCCCGGCCGCTCCAGAGGGTCCCAGCCCCGTTATGTAACCCCGACTAGGCCGCACGCCCGCGCTGGGGGCTCTCCCGTGGAGCGCTGCCCCGGGGGCCCAGCCCGCCCGCCGGGGTCCGTCCCAGGGGCGCGGGGCGGGGCCGAGGGCCGCCGGCTCGGCTGGGCTGGGAGGGAGCGGCGGGCGGGCGCGGGCCGAGGGAGCAGCCGCGTCGCCGTTGGAAGCGCCGGCCCCCCCCCGGGGGGGAGGGGCGGCGGGCCCCCTCTCGGGCCCACGCCCCCCGCCTGCGTCGCACACCCCGGGGGCCGCTCCGGGGGCCGGCTGGCCTCCGCCGGCCCAGCCCCGCTCTGCGTGGGGAGTCGCCGGCCTGAGCCCGAAGGCTCCAGGACCATAGGCGCTGGGGGGCCAGGCTGGCAAAGTTGGGAGCGGGCAGTGCCCCCGCGGCCCCGGGCAGACCGGGCAGGTGACCACAGCGCCCCATCTTTTCGCTGTGTGCTTCTCTTATGGGACCTCAAACTTGGTACCGAGAGCTGAAGCCGATACCCCCAAATCATGCCCCGTGGCCCCACTCCAGACTCGGGAGGAGCCGATGATCATTTTGTCAACAAACGTTATTTTTGACAATTACCAGTGGATGGTGATTTTTCGAACCTTTCCAAATGGATTTTCTCCAAATTCGCATTTTAATTTATTTTTCCCTCCAAGAGAAAGGCAGTGTGCCTTTAAAGAGAAACTGAATTCAGTACTCTGGGGGTGGGGGGAGTGTGTGTGTTGGGGGGCAGGGAGGAGAACAGGTTCATGGGGCAAGTTTAGGGACAATCTCTGCTACCCCGAGCAGCATTTGTGTACGACTGCTCTTTTCTGGTTCTCAGGGTGTTAATTCTCAATGGTACTTGCCTTGATAAGGAAATGATTTCAGTGGAGAAGTAATTAGTTTACAAAGGAGAATTCTCAGCACGTGGATACAGGTTAAATTGAGTCCTCATGGTGTTTTACAGGTTAGCGTATTTCTCTAAGCTGTGGGACTTCAAGAAATATGTGAAGTAGCCGATGACACCCAGTTGTCTGAGCATAACTGTACACCTCGCACATGCTGCTGTTTACACGCACGGCATGATTTCTTTCCCCAAGCAACCGACTGCTGTAAACATTGGGGGTTTTCTCTGTTTCACGCTTAAAAGCATTAGGAAAGTCAAAGTAAAAAGTCCTTAAATATCTTCCTATGTAAGAGCCATAGATCATAGGAATAATTCATTCATTTAACAAATAGCTACACCATATGCTAGGCCTCTTCTAGCCAGTCAGAGGACAGCATTGAGTAAAATAGACCAACACCCATGCTGAATTAATCAAACCTGACCGTTTTAACTAGGACTGTAAAAGGGAAGAACTGTTTTTTGTTTTCCTAAAGATTGAATGGATGGGGGAAAGGTCTCTTCAAGTTAGTTACACACACTAGAATTCTTGAGAAACAAAATGGTTTTTTCCCCTGGCTATTGAAAAAGAGTTGGACAACTAAATATTAATACTGACTCAAGAATAGAAAAAGTATATGAAGCAGAGTTGGTAGACAAAGGACAACTGTAGCATTTTAATGGCTATTTACAGTAAGGATGTACTTCCATTTATAGAGAGAAGATTGGGAATCCCGTGTTGTTTACATGTCTGCTACTGTATTTCAACTTCTCTTTGTATTTGAACAAATATACCCTGTTTAGTACCTGTCCCATTATAACCACTCAGTCATGTCAATCAATGTGAAGAAGTGAATTCATTATCTAGTGAAAATTATTTTACTGATGATCTTTTGTCATTTCCATTCTTACATTAAAGATTAATAGTAAATACCTAATGCAAGTGATTTAGAATTTCATATGTAAAATTTTAAGAAACCAACAATGCTTCAGCTTTCAAATCTGTTTGCTTTCCTCTGTGTGGCATGAAGTCAACTGTTAATAAAGGACCTAAATATATTTTTGCATCATCTGTCAAATGAGTGTTTCATTATCTGTTTCTTGGTTTATATGACGGAGTATTGGACTGAAGAATAAGATCATAGGTGGTTTCCCCCCCAATTCTGTTTTTAAGAGAAGATTTAGAAAATTTATAATCATTCTTGAAGCAAACAGATGGAGTGAGCTAGTTATAAATTGTGATGCTTGAGGATTTAGAAATATCAAATTTCTGTTGATTATCAAATTTAAGTCTATCCTAAATTGCTTTTCACACTATTGCCCATTTTGTTTTTCAATATCTAGCCAATTTTGGTCTTATTAAACAGAGAACTTGCTTTTTATTTTTATTTTTCTCTGAGACTCTTTTGACAGTTTTGACAACTATTGTCCACTGTGTCATAGCATAACCTCTCATAGATTTATATATATTTTTTTATGTTCTCAGTCTATACAACTTTCACAGCTTTTTCTCCAGTTCTCTCATCTTTCAAATGAGTTTTGAAGACTACGGGAGGTATATGCAGTTTGTGAAACTCTATAAATTCTAACATGCCATAGAAAAATTACTTGACATGTTATCACATGTTTGGCTTATTCTTTAAAGAGGTAAAGAGGCAGGAAAAACTATAAAATTTGGTACAACTATAAACAACAGTCGAGTAGTCAAAACAAGGGTTGGTTGCTGCTGGTCTTGAAAAAAATCTGTTGCTGATCTGTTTTTAATCATGGGCTCCAATCCAACCACTGTGACTGAGGTGATTATCAAATGAGAGCGTTATTGTCAGTATAATGGCTGTGATAGAATTTTTTTCAGGGGCAAGATAGACGAAAAATGGATTTTTAGACATGATATTAATGTTAGCTACATTTAGATATATGCTCATTATTTGAAAATTGAAATGTTTAGAAATATGTTAGTCTAGTCAAGTTAATCAAGAATGAGAGAAAGGAAACAGGAATGGTGATAATTTTCTTTTGCATAATTAAGGGCTAAAATTTAATGTCATTAAAAAAAAAAATCCGAGCCAACACAGAGCCTGACACAGAGTAAGAATTCAGTGCTCAATAAATATTGAGTGAGTGAATTGATAAATGAATATAAACTAATCCAATCCACTGATTGAAGAACCTGCATTGTTCAAGGAATTATGGGAGGCTACAGGATAAGACAGGCAGTTCTTTGTCTTCAAAGAGTTTGCAATCTAGTAGGTCATAGTAGTTCCCCTTAAATTTGTGCAGTGGTTTTGAGGTTCTAAAGAATTTTGAGTTCTGTCCAAATAAACATACTTGTGTTGACTTAAATTTTCGTTTGCTGTTTCCATGGTTCACCTGATACATTAACAGCTTTATTTTGCCCCGTGCTATTTTATGATGAAATAGGTACTTAAGTGAGGGAATATTTTCTAACTCAAAGAGACAGATGTGAAAGTACTGTGGAAGTTATGAACACAAGTTATTAATAAGGGAAAGATGAATAATTCTAAACTATTGCATTGCAGAGAGTTCTGTGGCAGTGGTTCTCTCCCTAAGTTTGCCTTCACATTCACCAGACACTCCCCACAGTCATATCTAATTATGTGAAGTGATCCTCCAGGCGAAGTGGGGCTGGAGTGCTATGCAGATTTTAAAAGCCTTAAAGGGGTTCTGTGTGACTCACCCACCTTTCACCTTGCCATACTTCTCACTCCTCTCTACCTGAAATCACTGACTTTATAATAGGAAGATGAGGAGATAAGGCGTGGTAAATAGAAGACAGAGATAGACACATTTATTTCAAGTCTCTACAGTGAAAATTGTTACCTAAGTAAATAAAATAAGAATTTTAAGTAAGTCATGTGTTTTAAGCTTCAGGAAACTACTTTATAGCTTTGTTACTGATGATTGAAGAAAGCACCTCTTCATTTGTGAATTTATGAATATTTCCTGCCCTCGTACTGGATTGGGTCTGCATGTAATATGTTTCCTGTAGCTTAGGCAGTGCCATACTGTACCGGATTCTTACATTTTTATGGCTTAGTGTCATAAAACCAGGACTGAGGACTTCCCTGGCATATATATCCTTTTCCCATCTTTGTTTCAGAGAAGAGTTTTCTGGCCTTTAACTTTTTAATTGGTCAATTTGCATCCTTCTGAGCTTCCTTTTTCAGACCCTTGTCTGAATGATCTGGTCTCTAGAGATTTCACTTGACTGTTTTTCCTGCCTCTTTAATGATGTTGCTTTGCTTAAGCCGAGACTTAGACTCCTTTGGGCTATGTTTATTAAAGCCAATGGAGGCTGGTATAACCTTTGGCTGCCTTGATTTTACATGTGTCCTGCAACTGAAACCCCAGATACCAATGTTGCAATCTCACAGCCTAAAAGCATTTTGGTAACTTGGTAGGCTTAATGTCAACGTAAAAGTGGTAAATTCGGTGTTGTTTTAGAGAGGTGTTGGTACAATGGGGTAGGTACAATCAAGAAATTGAAATGTTTTCACCAACCTTTCCAGCTTGGTGTTTAGCCAAAACTTTTTGTTCTTCTATAAAATACATTTTTAAAAATCTGCCACACTGGAATTTTGTACTTAATTTTTGCTAGTAGTGTACCATGTTATAAAAAAAAAAAAAAGTACTTTCCTCCAACTTTCATTTATGATTCTTCTTTCCTGAGCACTCTTGGCAGTTTAGTTTCATTAGATGTTTTGAAAATTCCCTTTAAATTGCCGCTACCCTTTGATGCTGGGAAAAAGAGAAAACATGATCGATTTCAGATTTGCTTAAAAGCTTCCTGTTTATCAGCGATATTCTTTTTTTCTTCATATTGAGTTCTTATGGCCTTTCTTGAACTCCATTGATGTTTCTATCTTCCCCCTCCTTCTGCTCTGAAATCAATATAAATATACTTTAAAACAAACAAACCCAAAGTATCAGCCAGTCCCTTATTACCCCACCAGATTTCTCTATTAAAAAAAAAAAAAATCAATATAGCCCTGGCTGGTATGGCTCAGTTGGTTGGAGCATCC